TCAGGTGCTGCAATGCCCCAGTTTTAATAAAAATATACCATACATAGAGGATAGCACTTTAACACGGGTGCACACACGGAGGTTCAGCACCACAGTTGTACTGTCATCTGCTTGGCCGCCTCAGAAACCCATTGGTGTGTTTAGGAGTTTCATAAATCTTTACGTGATCCACAACTCTTCTCTCAAGCACTGGATCGCGGGTATGTGCTTCCACATGCCACAGAGGTGCCTGCAATGTATGTATGTTGAACTATCGCACCGTGCGTTTCTAACTTTGCTAAAGCGGAAGTGTGGGAAGAATGTTATTCGCGTGGAGTGGCCCAGGGTTGTGGAGATGCCTTCAAGATCATTCACCCTCGTCTCTCCGCAGCCTTGCATACGTCACGCGCACGAGTTTAGCATCGCACGTTTGTATCAACTTCTCGCAGACTAAATGCCCACCATGGGATAGGTTATTTCCTTTGCGAGTCGACTCGTACAGACATCTGTTCCACCTTGCAGCCCAGCATATAGCGCTTGCTGTTCCATGGCAGTCTCCCATTGCAGACACGAGCCTTGCTTGACTATCTCCAAGTATTGGATACAATCATGCTGAATTGGCTATTACAGGGGTGAGAAACCGGTGACTTACTTTCACGCAGCCTGTAACTCCGTTTCACGTGGCTATGGCCTGTGACTTAATTTTATGTAACCCGCAGGTATAGGAGGCCGACCACTTCAAAACTTCCCACATTTCTCCACGAGTGCAATTGGGTCCTGGAGGAAAATATATTTTCAACGACCTTGCAACAGCACTTAATTTTCACACGCTCAAGTATTTCCTGTCAATTGCTGCAAGGGCCTTTTTGTAATGATTGGTGGTCTTGTGAATGTGTGGGTTGCCTGCCCGAAGGTATTTAAAAGCCCATTCGGTTCTCTAAAAGGAAAAAGGCTCCGAAACTTGGCAAGACCCTCTTGAAAAAAAGTCGAGGTTTTCCAAGGAAAATGATCATGAAAAGATAATTGATAAACTGCCAATTTGGTCTAAAACATACCGATAAAAAACTTCTATGATGTACACTTGAAATGGGAACACGGATAAAACAACTTAAAGGTGTGCAAAGAAGTATGAAGAAATGCATGCTTGAGGTTACATGTGGAGAAAGGACGAGTGGATTTGAAGATGCACTGGTTAAAGACGTCCTTGAACGAAAGGGGGCTTGGACAACACATGGCCGTAAGGGATGGCCGGTGGACAACTGGCGACGGAGCCGAATGATGACATGCCTGAGAGGTCACACTGAGATGGAGTGGTGATCCAACAGCGTGTGCAAAAGTGACATGGATTGTTGCTTCCGTCACAAGACTGAGTGATGGTGGCTGGAGAGACCTTCATCCGGCAGTGGGTAGAGAACTAGGCTGATTTTTGTGGCGTCACTTGCACGCTACAGCAGTGACTGATCGGGTGGGTTCAGGGTCCTGTGGCGTCATGGCTTAGTATGGTCAAGGTTAGGATGTGTTTACTTGGGATGGGTTGAATCCGGTGTGAATCAATTACTCAATTTAACCACGTAGGCTTCCGTGACTGGTATGATAATACATGTTGGGTTCGCGCAAATGTAATTTTACAACTAGCAATACGGAAACCATTGGCCCTTACTAGTGGACGTGCCTCCTCGGAAGCAAAGTGACCAGTCCTGTGCAGCACAGCGACAGCTACCACTGGTGGTGGGGGCCGGCGAGGCGACCCATTTAAATGAAATGTCTATCGCTTGTCGAAGTGCGCTCGAGATAAGTTCTGGTCACGTGGGATTATGCCGGGTGGTGTCAGGGATCAGACTTTTGTCAAGTGGGGGGTCAGGTCAACAGGTTAGGTTCGCTGGGGTGAGGTGGTGACGTCATGGTCAGGGTTAGGTCAGCTGCGGTGAGGTCGGATGAGGTTGAGGGCGCCTGGGCTCCACGTGTTGCCGGACTCTGGCTTTGAGGCTCGCTTGGTGGTGAGTGGAGGACCCGACTGGTTGCGTCATGTTTGCGCGGGGGCGTGTATGAGGCACGTGTTTCCAAATGGGTCTTCTCTGCGAGTGTGCTGCTGCTGAGCGTGCACGTGAGCTATGCCTTCAATTGAACACGCTGCATGTGTGAGTAAGCTGTGCGCGCTATGTGGCCTATATGGCTGACCGTGAACCCATCCGCTGTATGAGTGCTATATGGGCTGTATGATGTCTATGAAGTTGTTTATTTTGACGAGTATGTATTGGTTTACTATGTGCTATGTATGAGCGTGCTATCTGCTATGTATAAGAGTGCTGTGCTGTTTGCTATGACTGCGGATGCCATGTCTGCGATGCTTTTTTATGAATGTACTGCACTGAGTATGCTGTCTGCTGTGCTATGTATTAGTGCTATGATGCACTATTAATGATTATGCTATGTATACATGAGTATAATACGTCAGCTATGTGCATGCTATGAATGAGTGTGCTGTCTGTTATGAGTGTTATGATTTTGCTATGAAACGTATGAATGAGTGTGCTGCTGTTTGGATGCTACGTGTGAATGCGTATGCTAGGTCTGCCATATACGGCTTGCTGTGGAATAGTAGACATTGTATGGGAGCAGCAAGTTACAAGTGTGTTCTACGAGTATGCTATAGGTATGCTATGCTGCGAGTGCTCTGGGTATGCTGTGCTACGATTATGCTATGATACGGGTATGCTATGGGTATGCTATGCTACGCGCATGCTATGGGTATGCTATGGGTATGCTATGCTAGGAGTATTCTACGGGTGTGCTATAGTATGGGTATGCTATGGGTGTGCTATGGTATGGGTATGCTACGGGTGTGCTATGGTATGGGTATGCTACGGGTGTGCTATGGTATGGGTATGCTATGCTCCGAGTATGCTACGGGTGTGCTATGGTATGGGTATGCTATGCTATGGATGTGTTATGGTATGTGTATGCTATGGTATGGGTATGCTATGGTATGGGTATGCTATTCTACGAGTAAGCTACGGGTGTGTTATGGGTGCGATGCTGCGCGAGGTGCATGCTCGCTCGGCGGGCTGTGCTCCCGTGATGCCCCGCGCGCACTAGACATGGCGCCGTGCTGCCCGTACGCGGGGGGAGGCGCTCGCCTCTAGGCCTCGCGGCGCGGGGACGCGGGATCCCTGATCCCCCTCACCCCTAATCCCCCTGATCCCCTCATCCCCTTACTCCTCATCCCCTCAACCCCTCAACCCCGTTCTCCCGCTCGCTGTACTCTCTCCGATCCCCCCTCGTCTGCCTACTCCCCCCGACTCCTCACCCCCGACTCCCTCGCCCCCTACTTCATCCACTGATCCCCTCGTATTCCTGCTCCCCTGATCCCAACCACGCTCACTCCTTCATCTCCTCTCACCGCCTGGTCCCCTCTCACTCCCTGTCACTGCTCAACCCCCCCCCCCCTCTCTCTCCCCCCCCGTTCTCTTTTCCCTTATCCCGCCCTTTACCCCCGTACCCGGTCTCCTCCTTGATCCCTCTGCTTCTTGCTGCTCACCATTCCACTCCCCTCTATTCCTTTAACGCAGCGACCCCCTCCTATACTGCTTGGGCTCATCTCTCTGCGCCCACCTTACTCCCTGAGACCCCAATCCCCTCTGCCCCCCCCCCACTCCTCTTTGACCCCCTCCCTGATCCCCAGCCACGCCGTAGCCAGCTGAAGGCCCCCCCCCCCCCCACTCGGTCTCCCTCCCGCGTCGCCTGTGGGGCCTGCCGACTTCGCTCGCGTGAGTTGAGGCATCAGTGATGCGGGTGCGGTGTGGGGGATCGGGGAGTTGGCCTTCGATTGTGCGGCGGGGGAGGCAACTATCAAGGGAGTGGGGATCAGGCTTCGGAGGAGAAGGGGGGGGGGGGTCTGTATCCGGGGATGAGGGATCGGAGTAGGGGGGGGGGTCAACTGATCCGAGTGGGGATCAGGGATCGGAGGCCCAGGGACTCGGTTATCAGGGACCGGCTATCATTGACCGGGGGTGTAACCAGGACTTAATTTCTCACTGGGGTTGGGGGTAGCTTCTAACGAGTATCCACAGTCCATGGCGATGTGCTGCTGTGCTAGATGAGGTGTGCCTGTTATAATGTAGCACTGTATTTAGCGTCGTTGGGATACCACAGTGGGGTGGGCTGGTGGATAGTGCTGTAGCAGCCATAGCCGAGCTTGCTACGGCGTGTGCTGGGTGCGGAGATGTTCATTTTCAGGGTCTCCAAACCCGGCTGGAATGATTCTCCGGGGTGAACCCAATTGCGAACTTAAGGGATCCGAATCGGGAGGGGGGAGGTTCGAGTATCATGGTCACTGATCATAAAGTCGGGGGGTGTGAGGGAGTCCGGGTTTGGGGTGGTGGGCAAAGCTCCCCAGAAACCGATGGGTAATGAACATAGGAACCGATGCGGGCATGAGGAATCCATCAGCGAAGTATTTTGAGAGGCCACAATCCCAGGATCGGGGTTGAGGTATTGGGTTGCCCGCCCAAGGAACTTTTGCGGTCCATTTAATGTCATTATAGTGCCCTCACATTGTATATACACGTGGAACAACCAACCTCACAACGCTTGCCAACATGAGGGTGAACCTAGCCTGGTACAGAAACTTCCGCACTTCCCGCCAAACGTATTGCTGCTGCTGTGGTGGTGTTCATGCGGTGAGGTGTGTGTGTGGCTGTGTCTTTTGGTGTGAGGTGCACCCACAATCGCCGTGGTGACGTCACCGCCACTTCGTGGCTAACAGCGATTGGTGTGAGCTGTTGGCGCGGGCTGTTGGTGTGAGGTGTGTTGGTGTGAGGTGTTGGTGCGAGGTGTGTTGGTGTGAGCTGTGGGTGTGAAGTGTGTTGGTGCGGGCTGTTGGTGTGAGGTGAGTTGGTGTGAGCTGTTGGTCCGGGCTGTTGGTGTGAGGTGTGTTGGTGCGAGCTGTTGGTGTGTTGGTGTGAGCTGTTGGTGCGAGGTGTGTTGGTGTGAGCTGTTGGTGCGAGGTGTGTTGGTGCGAGCTGTTGGTGTGTCCGGAGTGGTGTGGTGTTGGTGTGGCGTGTCCGGAGTGGTGCGAGCTGTTGGTGTGAGCTGTTGGAGTGAGGTGTTGCGTGTCCGGAGCGGAGTGTTGTGCGTGGCTTTTACGAGTTATGTTTCCCTGTGGTGCTGTCAGGTGGCGTTGTTGTGTTTTTCACCAAGTAGATTGACAATCTTTCCATACCTATCTATACTCGTGGAGTTTTTCATCTGGGTACAGATACATTGGGGAGGCTGCTGCTCAGGTGAGCGTCTAGGGATGGCTCCCTATCGTTAAACCATTTTATTGTCCACTGCCGACCTGGCTAATTACTGCCCATTCTGAGGAGTTGGAGACTGCTGCTAAACTCCGTAGCTTGTCAGAAAGAGGTGATGGTGATGGGGGTCTTACCGTCAGCTGCACCAAAATGGCAGCCTAGGAACTCTGTGTCATCAACACTCCCTCGTCCCTCCGTGAGTAACGGTGTCGTTTTCACGGAGGGTTGACGACTTCTCATATGTGGGCAGTGTGTTCGAGACCAGTTCCATTGCGGCAGGAGGGGGGAGGTCTCGTTCAGAATTCGTCGAGCAGCAGTCCATTGGCCGCGCGTAAGCTGCCTTGGCCTGTTTCCTCCCCACGAAGCTTCGGCTGGATCTTTTCAGTCGCAATCACCCCCCCCCCTCTTATCTGTGCCTGCAAAAACGCCTGCAACCCACCTTGCAACATGCAGACGGCTCTGCCTACGATCCGACCTGGATGTATCCATATTGGACATTTCAGATCCCTGAGAGATCTGGACCTAGTCCCAGCATTGACCTCCGCAACAAGCGAGGCTGCATGGCCTGGGTCATGTAGCCCGCATGCCCAGCCACCGCGTTCCCAAACAGCTTCCGTTTTGGCCGGATAGAGGGGGCTAAACGGGTGCTGTATGGGCTATGGAGAAAATGGGCTAATGTGGTACAAGAAAATGTCGACCTGATTGGACTTGCGAATCACTGGGTCCAGTGGTGTCAGCCTCTGTGGAGGAGGCCCGTGAAAGTCGCTTCTGTGCAGTTGAAAAATACTGCTGGGCTGTTGGGAGGCAAATATGGAGGAGGGTAGAGGAGTGACCCTCACCAGCGAGCATAGCGATGGGTAACTAAAATACAGTAAGGTGGCACGGTAGGGAGCGTAGGTGGTGCATGGCCGATCGTTCAAATCATATAACCTGTAACACCTGGGTCTACCCCTGTACCTCCTGACAACGAGCCTTTGATACTTCACGTGGCCTCAAAGTGCACCGAGTTTGGCACAAGCGCCATGATGACATTACCACCACATAGTGGCAAATGGCAGCTAATTTGGTTGTCGGTCGTCTCTAGAGCCACCGCCATTATTAGTGTTATGCACAATGTCTATATCCTGCATAGCATGTGTATTGGGTGTTTGTGTGTGTGTGTGTAATTTACACTGCGTGTGTCTCCGTGTGGGGTGTGAACGCCGCTCATCCCCCTCAGCTCCACGCCGCGCGGCATCCCTCGGGCCACGCTCACGCCCCCCCCCCCCCCCCCCACGGCACCGGCAGTTGCGATGGCATCGGTGATGTCCGGCGGCGTCGACTGGCTGCTCTTACCCTTCGACCTGTACGTGGAGATCTTCCAGTACCTGACGGCGGGCGAGCGGGCGAGCGCTCGCGTCGCCTGCCGGGCGTTCCGCGCGCTCCTCGACCACCCGTGCCTGTGGCACGACCGCACGGTGCGCCTGCGCGAACTGCACCGCTACGACGCGCGCACCTGGCGCACGCTGCAGGGTCGGCGCGTCAGCCGCGTCGAGCTGGCGCGCGCCGCCGCCAAGGACCTGCGCCGCCTGACCGCGGGCCTGCCCGACGTCACGGCCGTGCGGCTCACGGGCCCGCCGCGGGCCGGCGCGCTGGCGCCGCTGGCCGCGCTGGCGAGGCTGCGCGACGTGTGGCTCGACGACTGCACGCGACTGTCGGGCGCCGAGCTGCTGCGCGACGTGGCGCCCTTCTCGGGGCGGCTGACGCACCTGACGCTGGGGAACCTCACGAGCTTCGGCGACGACGACCTACGCCAGCTGGCGCGGCTGCAGAACCTCGAAGCGCTTTCGCTGCGTCGCTGCCTCAAGAGCTCCGGCGGTTTCAGCATCTCGGGCCCTGCGCTACAGTACGTGCTGTTCCGGCTGCCCAAGCTGCGCTCGCTGGCGCTGTACGCAGCCGGGCTATCGAGCGACGGGCTCTCCCTCGCCTTCACGCCGCCCTGCCAGGACCCAGGTAGGGGGCCCGTACGGCCATTTCGCTCTCTTTTTGGGGGGGGGGTGCAGTTTGGTGGGGGGGTCGGTGGGGATGCGGGGGGAGAGGGTGGAGGTGGCTCGGCGTGGCGCAGAAAAGGCCAGCATTGAAGAGCGAATGGAGAGTGAAATGCGGAGCGGGTGAGGTGCTGGGGGGATTGGTAGTGGTCGAGGTAGAGTCAGTGGGAGGGCTAATACTGTGAGCTGGTTATGGTTGGGGTTTAGTAGCTGGTTGTTGAGTGTGGTAATGGTTAAAAATAGAGCTACCACCTGGTTGACTGGTGTAGTTAAAGTCAGTGGGAATGCTGAGTGACTAACTGGTTGGTGGGTTGACTGGAGGTGGTGGTAGGGTAAGTATGTGTGGCTGGCTGGTTGGAGCAAGGGCTTGAGTTGGTTGACTTCTGAGCTCGGTCACAGCTCACAACTTTCCCGGTTTTGGATTTTCATTCCTGGAGTGGTGGTGCAGTCGGCAACCAGAGTTCGAATCCCCCTCACGGCTAACATCGGTGACGAGCATTTGAACTGGTCCTGGGCCTCCCCGAGGTTGACTGCTTTAAAACGAGCAGCTAATGCGTCATGTAAACATCAGCACTGGACAGAAAAAGATGGCCGGGTGTGGTGCTGGCCACCCACGATCTCGTGTGCCGTGCCGGAATTAATAGGTGCTCGCTAACAGTCTGTTTAGGCTACACGGGAGGGCTGCTCACACCACCGGGGGTTCAGGACATCAAGACCGGAAAATACAGCCGCATTTTAGCCACGACTATCGCTGGGTTTATACACGGGTAGCGGGATAAATTGTTTTGGAGGCAATGGTTGGTGGATCACGTCGAGGTTTGTGAAACTCCCAATCCCACAAGTCTCTGACTTGACCAGGAGATGGCAATACAGCAATCGGATTCGTGAACTTGTCTGTATCGTGAACCTTTGAGTGTGATCCCCTCGTATGCATGGTGGGTTGTCTCTGGCTACTCTGGTTTCTTCCCATACAAAACAAAATGCTCGTTATTCAAACGTTGTAATGGAGAAGAGAGTCTCCTAAAAAAATATTAATACCAGCATTCATGTAAATGAATGTCTAAGAGGCTTGGTAAATGCTTGGTTTTGAGTTGGATAACCGGCCATGTGGCTCCTCTGCAGAGCGAGTGGCTCGCCATCGCAAGCGCCGTGAGTTAAAATCCTGGTTACGGGGGTTGATTCGGCCCATCATCCATCTAGAGTCTATGAACGAGCACCACTTCGTGTGGAAGTTTTCCAGTGATTGTCCTTTGGAGGGATTTCCCTCTGCCGTGTCAATGTGGAATTTATTCCACTTGTGCTGCCGGAGCGTGAACGGGACATGTGAACGCCGGTGCCTCAATGCTCATTTGAGCGGGAACTCTGACTTTGGAATCTGCTATTTACGGTGAATAGCAATCATAATGTATAGTCCAATTTCAGTTCATTTCTGGATGAGTGCCTTCCCACACCGTGTCAGTCATTTGGAGGGGGGGGGGATTATTTGGCCATACTTCACCAAGCTGGTCAATGTGGGCCAATGAAGGAGGATTCCCCAAACCTCTTCGAATATCACGCTCCACCGATATTAGCTGTTGCCTGGAATCGAGCTCAAGTCGCCGGGTTCATAGTAAGGTTGTTAAAACATTGGTTTTGTGTCCATTACCAGTAACCACATTGCCTAAATTTTGTAAAACCCCGGCTCACGGTGCCACACGTACAGGAAACTCGAGACCAATGAACGTAACCTCTTAAACTGAGAAACGAAGGGAGTTTCCACTGGTCTAATTGTCGCACACTGAACTCGCAATCCATTCGGTTCGTTTCCATCTCCTGGCGCGGTAGTGGAATACAGCCACAGTCAGGCCAGTTAGGACGACCCCACTACCATGGCTGCATGTGCTGTGCAACATCCTCCCGCCAAAAATTCGCCGCCAAGATGTTAGGCAAAGTACATGCGGCACCGGAGTTACCCCTTCGTGTCGACATTTTCAAGCCCCACCACCCATGCGCCTGAAGTCCCGACACCCAGTGTGGGCAATACCACAGCCCGAAGAGTGGAGTGACGAATTGAGAGCCGTGAAAGTGCCGAAAACTGGGACCTCGTAAGCGATCCATCCGTCCAGATGCCTGGCTTCGACCTCCCAAGGCGCCACTGAGTGCAGTTAAACCACTTGCGGTGTGACCAGGGAGTGTGTTGCTGCTTCCGAACATCGATGGGGCATACTATGTGACAGCCCCACTGTGTGAATGCGGGGAGCCAGGAGACCACGGCGCACGTCGTCTTTGGCTGTGAGGTGCCTCAGGGCAGACTGGTTGCCCTGCACGTGCTGGAGGAGGAGGCTGCAAAGTGGCCCTGTGGCTATGTGGGCTGACGTCCATTCAAAGAACATTTCTTGATATATATTGTAAATGTGTCTGGTGTTTTGACTTTGGGAAGTCGTGTGAAATAGAATTCGCTAAATTAATAAACTGCCACCTCTTCAAAGACGTCTGGTCAACGTGGAGGATGAGACCAAATATCTTGAGCTTCCTGTAGTCGAGGTTCCTTCCGTCAGCAGTGGTGTGAGCATCAAGCAATTGCATGGCTGCCCCTGCACCTTTTTGACACATGGCCATCTTGCCGTTTGTCCATCCACATGTGCCAATCATTGCATTTTTTTGTTGAGAAACGGTTGCAGGTTCCGCACTACGACAACCGGTAATCGAAAACAGTGATTGGTTTGCTGGTTGTCGTTGCGTCGTAGCTGTACAGTGATCACTCTGAAAATAATCTGCCCTGCCTGAGCCGACTTGCACCTACAGTGAATTTACTAGTTACTGTTGATTGACATTTGTGCAATATATTTTATTTCTCACGTGATGCTTTTGTTTTTAACACCGATTTCTATTTTCTTCGTCGCTACGTTTATTTTAATTTTTTGTCTGCTTTTGCAGTTTCGGAGACCCAGGTCTCTCTTTGCAAACGAGACTCATCCCGGCCCCTTTTAAGTTCTCAACACGTTGAGTTCAATAGCAAAGTCAACTAAAAAACAACACTAAAAAGCATCGCAGCGCGCTACCCGGTGCGCCCTGCGGGATAAAAGTTTTAACGGTTGACGCTGCTGCTGCTGCCATTGCTGTTGCCGTCCCCGGCGCGGCTGCCGCCTGCTGCCAGCGTGTAACGCAGAGGGCGATCTCCCCTGCATCAAGTCGCTGGCGCTGGAGAACCTGGGGCTGACGCACTCGCTGAGCTGGCCGCTGTCTGATGAGGCGCTGGATCAGCTGGCGAGCGTGCGCACGCTCCTTGTCAACTCGTGCTACCTGTTCCGGCGGAGAGACCTGCCCATCCGTGAAGTCACCGCTATCTTCCAGCGCCTACCCAATGTCGTGCACCTCGACCTGGGATGTGAGTGTGCGCGAGGTGCGCAGTGTGTGTGTGTGTGTGTGCGTACGCGAGCATGGTGGTGTGAGCGTGTGTGTATGTGGGGAGCGGTGGTGTAGCGGTTAGCGCGCTGCGCTACGAACCCGGCGACCCGAGTTCGATTCCCCCTCGCGACCAACACCGGTGATGATTATCTGAACCGGTCCTGGACCTCCATGGGGTCGACTCAGCCTTGAATGAATACCTGGTGCGGTGTGTAAATATCGCCACTGGGGAGACAAAGGGGGCCGGGTGTGGTGCTGGCCACCCAAACCCCTCATGTGCCGTGCCGGCCTTCATGGGTGGTCGCAAACAGCACTTGCCCCAACAGTCTGTTTAGGGGGAAATTTGTCTTCGTCTTTTGATGGTGCGCGTGAGGGTGGTTGCTGTGTGTGGGAGGGAAGTGGTGTTGATGTTTGTGGCTGTAGTATGGGTGTGTCGATTCGGCCTTCATAGAGTACCTGGTGCGGAGTGTAAACACTAGCACTGGGGAGACAAAGGCAGCCAGGCATAGTGCTGGTCCACACGACGCCCCTCGTAGCACCTTGCCAGTCTTTATCGGTCCTTGCTAACAGCACTTCCCGCAATAGTCCGTGTAGGCTACACGGGCGATCTTTGTATTTGTACATGTGTGAGAGTTACTACTACCAGATCATCTCCATCCTGAGGTGAATTCTTATTTGCCATCGTCCTACCAGGCTCACAGAGTGGCCAGCAGATGGCCTCCGTGTACCGTATCACGTTCCCCTTGCAGTAGCGGTCTTGCCGTGCGTTCTGTGGGTGTGCTGTGTGTATGGGCTTGTGCTGTGTATGAGGCTATACACACCGGACCAGGCTGCGTGTACCATACCTAGTATTGGCTAAATACCAGGGTATACACTCATGTCCTAGGGTACACATCTGCACAGGTACATGAATGGTACACAGTGTGGTTTGTGTACGATTCGTTGTCTGTGTGGTTTGGCATGTGTACCCATATGCCGGCAGATGCCACATACTGAGCGTGTACTCATACTGTGCGTGTTCCGAATAGAGATGTGTTGATGTACTGCATGTGTACCTTGCCAATGCCATAAGAGTACTCTGTACTGTGCGAGTACTATGTCGGGGCGCCGTGGTGGCAAGATGTTAACTCCCTCACCTGGTATGAAGGAGCTCGTGGTTTCTATCCCGACCCAGATGCCTGCTGTATATTTGGAGTTTGCATGTCTCTCTCCCCGTGGTCGCGTGGATTTTTCTCCAAGTCCTCTGGTTTTTCCCTGCACATTTAGAAATATGTTTTTCGAGTATTTGGCTGCTATAAATTTCCACATGATAAGCCACTTCGTTGAGCTATCATTTGTGGCCAGGTCACTTCTGAAAAAAGAGCCATTTGGCTCAGTGGGCCTTACCTGGTTAAACAAAAATTCAATATTTCCTCCTTATTCATGAACTTGCTATCTGCGATTTTGCTTATCCGCGAATCGCATCTGGAACACCACATGACTACTTCATCGACAGAGAGTGATGAGGTAAAGGGATGGTAGAAAATATGATGCGAAAATGTGATGAGATTTTTTTGTTTATGTATTTATTCATAGGCAAATATCATCCGCAAAACTTGCTATTCACGATCATTTCCGGAACGTATCCCTCGTGAATAACGAGGGAATACTGTAGTTTAATTTTTTTTTATCTTGGGTACACGGTGACAGGGTGGAATAGAGGAGGGGAGACGGCACAGAGGTGAGAGGCGGTGGTGGGCGGGGGAGTGTGATGGAGGGTGATGAGAGAGTGAGGGAGCGGAGAGAGAAATGGGGAGAGAGAGCAGAGAGAATACAGAACAGAGCGATAACAAGAAAGGAAGGGACAGACGAGGGAGAGAAAAAAAGAGAGTTAGAGAATGGAGCAGAAGGACAAGAGATAGGGGGAGAGAATAGGGAGAATGTCAATGTAGAAGAGGGGGAAGGGTCCGTTTAGTGTGGCAGAGAGAGGGGAGAGATTGTACCGAGAGCTGTGATGGGGGAGAGACATGGAGTCTGTATGGGAGAGGGAAGATTGGAAAATGGGTCGATGTGAGAGATGTGGGAGATGAGGATTTAGGGCCGTGTAGAGCCATATCTCCTCGTTAGAGATTCCCTCTGTCCTCCCACCATCACTGCCCCTCACCCACACGACTCACCACCCACCACTCCTCACGCACAACACTCCACCACCTTTCCTTACGTACACTGCTACACCACCGCTCCACCACTACTGCTACACCACCACTCCACAACCGCTACACCAACACCGCTCCACCACCACTCTGCAACCGCTCTTCACGCACACTACTCCACCACCACTCCACCACCACTTCTCATGCACACTGCTACACCACCACTCCACCACTACTGCTACACCACCGCTCCACCACTACTGCTACACCACCACTCCTACACCACCGCTCCACCACTACTGCTACACCACCACTCCACAACTGCTCCACCAACACCGCTTCACCACCACTCCACAACCGCTCCACCACCACTCCACACCCGCTCCTCACGCACACTGCTCCACCACCACTCTACCACCACTCCACCACCGCTCCTCATGCACACTGCTACACCACCGCTCCACCATTCCACTCCACCACCACTCCATCACCCATGACCTCTTCACACCAACAGTGCTCGCCGCCCACCACTCCGGACACCACGCCATGAGTGTGCGTGAGCGTAGCGTGAGTGAGTTAGTGCTTGGTGTGGGGGTGAGTTTGCGAAGCGGTGTGTTGGTTCAGTAGAGAGTTAATGTCATTCTGTATTACATCACAGTGTCGTGAGAGATGGTAGCGGCTTGGGGGAGGCCCTCCAGCAGTGGATAGATCACGACTGATGACCATAATAATGATGGGTGTACTACATCTGTTATTGCCGAGCATCTCCTCGCTTGACCCCAGTGTCTGCCCTCTATTTGGTTCCTGCCTCTCCGTCGCTCTGTGGCGTCACAGCGTATCTCTTCCATCGAGGTTGTAAAATGGGTTTGACAATTTCTCTCTATATTTGTTTTTTTAATTAAGGCCTTAAATGGTGCAAGCCTGAATGACCATCGCTTTCCAATTAATCAATGCCTTTTCACGGTCCGCTAGAGCCAGGCATCGTGCCGTTTTATATTCTTGTGCGTTCTCTAGATTCTCGTTCTCTAGATTCTGGTGCGCGTCTTGTCGGCATTGTGCACTGTATGTATATGTTGTGTACGTCTGTATGTTTGTCTTGTGCACACTTTGTGTTTGGATGATTGGGCGCGGTGATGCAGTGGTTAGCGCGCTGCGAACCTGGTGACCCGAGTTTGATTCCCGCTTACGGCCAACACCCTTGACGATTACATGAACTGGTCCTGGGCCATCCCGCAGGTCGGCTCAGCCTCAAATGAGTACCTGGTCCAGTGTGTAAACATCAACACTGGGGATAAAATTGGATAATTGTGGTGTTGACCACCTTGTGCGCCGTTCCGGCTTTCAGCATAACAAGAAATAAGAATACAATAACAGCTCGTCAGTACCAACCACAATGACAACAACACAACAAAAACAACGACACAACATGCCCACCAAGGAGGATCAGCCGCGGCTGTTACCAGCTTCACCATCATCATCATCAAACTCAATCTCCTGTTTCCCCCACAGTCCACAACTCCCTCCCCACAGCCGTCTGAGCTGTCCACTCCCTGCCCTTGTGAAGGCTCAAGACCTTTTCTCTCCTCCTCTGTCCATGACTCACTGCCTCTGGCGAGAAATATATTAGGTGCACTGTGTCTGTACAGCATCATGACATGCGGCCGTGTGTCTTTGTCCCCCGTGTTCCTCTTGCCCTGTCACCCTAACCGCCTGTGCCCCTGTTTCCCAATGCCTCCATCCTTCTCCCCCCTGTTTCCTTCTCCCTGCCCTCCTCTCCTTCTCTTCTCGTGTTTCTGTCCGTGCCCTCCTGTTTCCCCTGTCCCTCCGTCCCTCTCCCCTGCCCCCCACCGCGCCCTCGTGTCGCTCGCTCCCGTCCCTCCTTCACTCCCCGCACGTAGCCACGAACTGCAAGAACGCGGTGCTGGAGCACGTGCCGGCGTCGTTGCAGTCGCTGGACCTGCGTGACTGCTACAGCATCTCGGGCGCCGGGCTGCAGTTCCTGTGGGAGCGCGCGGGCACCTCGCTCCGCCACCTCAACCTCTCGCTGTGCAACCGCGTGTCGCACCAGCCGCTCGCCGTGCTGCACAAGCTCTTCCCCAACCTCGAGAGCCTCGACCTCAGGTATCAACCTCCTCATCATCATCATCGTCTTCATCATCGTCTTCATCATCATCTTTATCATCGTCATCATCTTCGAAATGGTTACCGTCGTCTTGATCGCCATTGTCTCCAGAGTCGTCCGGAACACGTGCAGCCAGGGTGTGCAGTGGCAGGGACACCTCGGTAGAAACCCACGTCACATTTACACACGTGTTGATGTCCCGGCACGGCAGGGAGTGCAGGGGGGTGAGGGGTGTTGGGGGTCAGCAAGGTGGGGGGTGGGGGTGGTGGAAGAGGCAGGAGGAGGAGGAGGAGGAAGGGGTTGAAAAAAGGGAGAGAGCATTTCCCGGCAGCGTGGAGGTTAAGACAGCCTGACATTTCACTCACAGCGACGACGTCACGAAGGGTCAAGGTGGGCCGGCGTGGGGCAGGGTGCGGTGGGACACCGCGGAACTGTGGGGGAGATGAAAGCAGGTTGGGTGGGGGGGTATTCGAGAGATTTGGGGAGAAGAGGGAGGGATAGCAATTTGACGGGGTGGGGGGCCATTGGTGGCATTGGGATAGAAGGGGAAGTAATTGGGGGGAGGGGGGCTGTGTGGGAGACAAAGGTGGGATGGGGGGGAGATATTTTCTGTTGGGTAATTGGGGGAGGGAGCTACTGGGGAGATGCAGAGAGGGATACGAGAGGGATGCCGTGGCCCGTGTCCATCATTGAGAAGGGAAAGAGATTTGGGGGGCTTGTGGGGATAGGAAGGTGAGGTGGGGGGTGACGGTGTGGACTGAATAGACGGGAAAGAAGGGGCGTGGTGAAGCAGGAGGACTGGGGTCCCATGTAGGAAAGAGGGCACAGAATAAAGAGTGACGGTGGGGGGGGGCCTGAGATGGAGAAGACAGAGGAGGGAGGAGGAGCTTAAGAGAGGCGGGGGAGGAGAGGGAGGAGGAGTGGGCCCTGTGGGGGGTGTTGCGCCGTGTTTCATCGCGGGGCTGAGCGGCCGTCCTTGGTTGCCGTGGCGACGGCGGCACCTCATGATTGAACAGATGTTGGGTCTAGGCTGAATTATGAATCACGTTGCCCACACTCTCCCGCCTCTCTCCCTCCCCCTATCCCGAACTCTCCCTCCCACTCTCCCGAATTCTTTCCATCTCCTCTCCCCGCTGCCAGTGACGAATTTCTTGCACGCACGGTACACGTGCCGTACACGCACTGCACGCGCGCCGTGCACGCGCAGAGATGGGTGACTCCACCACACCCATGCACACGCACACAGGGAGAGCAAGCAAGAGGGAGAGATTAAGTGAGAGAGTGTGGGTGCAGGAATGAGTGAGTAATAGATTGAGAGAGCGTGCGAGAGGGCGAGCGAGTAAAAGAGCGAGCGAGGGCGTAAGTGGGAGAGCTGGTGAGTAACAGAGACTGAGTGAGAAAGTGAGCGAATGAATGACAGGATGGGAGACCATGAGAGGGTAAGAGAGAGAGTGAGCGAGAGGGTAAAAGAGAGAGAGGGTAAAAGAGAGAGTGAGCGAGAGGGTAAAAGAGAGAGAGGGTAAAAGAGAGAGTGAGAGAGAGGGTAAAAGAGAGAGTGAGTGAGAGGGTAAAAGAGAGAGCGAGTGAGAGGGTAAAAGAGAGAATAAGAGGGTAAAAGAGAGAGTGAGAGGGTAAAAGAGAGAGCGAGAGAGAGGGTAAAAGAGAGAGTGAGCGAGAGGGTAAAAGAGAGAGAGAACGAGAGGGTAAAAGAGAGAGAGAGAGAGGGTAAAAGAGAGAGTGAGCGAGAGGGTAAAAGAGAGAGAGAGGGTAAAAGAGAGAGAGAGAGGGTAAAAGAGAGAGAGAGAGGGTAAAAGAGAGAGCGAGTGAGAGGGTAAAAGAGAGAGCACGAGGGTAAAAGAGAGAGTGAGAGGGTAAAAGAGAGAGCGAGAGAGAGGGTAAAAGAGAGAGTGAGCGAGAGGGTAAAAGAGAGAGAGAGGGTAAAAGAGAGAGCGAGAGGGTAAAAGAGAGAGAGAGAGGGTAAAAGAGAGAGTGAGTGAGAGGGTAAAAGAGAGAGTGAGAGAGAGGGTAAAAGAGAGAGTGAGAGAGAGGGTAAAAGAGAGAGAGAGGGTAAAAGAGAGAGTGGGAGAGAGGGTAAAAGAGAGAGGGTAAAATAGAGAGTGAGAGGGTAAGAGAGAGAGGGTAAAAGAGAGAGTGAGAGAGAGGGTAAAAGAGAGAGCGAGCGAGAGGGTAAAAGAGAGAGCGAGAGAAAGGGTAAAAGAGAGAGCGAGCGAGAGGGTAAAAGAGAGAGTGAGAGAGAGGGTAAAAGAGAGAGGGTAAAATAGAGAGTGAGAGGGTAAAAGAGAGAGTGAGTGAGAGGGTAAAAGAGAGAGCGAGAGAGAGGGTAAAAGAGAGAGTGAGAGAGAGGGTAAAAGAGAGAGGGTAAAATAGAGAGTGAGAGGGTAAAAGAGAGAGTGAGTGAGAGGGTAAAAGAGAGAGCGAGAGAGAGGGTAAAAGAGAGAGAGAGGGTAAAAGAGAGAGAGAGGGTAAAAGAGAGAGAGAGGGTAAAAGAGAGAGTGAGAGAGGGTAAAAGAGAGAGGGTAAAAGAGAGAGTGAGAGGGTAAAAGAGAGAGAGTGAGTGAGAGGGTAAAAGAGAGAGTGAGAGAGAGGGTAAAAGAGAGCGAGTGAGAGGGTAAAAGAGAGAGTGAGAGAGAGGGTAAAAGAGAGAGTGAGAGGGTAAAAGAGAGAGTGAGAGAGAGAGGGTAAAAGAGAGAGTGAGTGAGAGGGTAAAGAGAGAGCGAGAGAGAGGGTTAAAGAGAGAGCGAGAGAGAGGGTTAAAGAGAGAGCGAGAGAGAGGGTAAAAGAGAGAGAGGGTAAAAGAGAGAGCGAGAGAGAGGGTAAAAGAGAGAGAGAGAGGGTAAAAGAGAGAGAGAGAGGGTAAAAGAGAGAGAGAGGGTAAAAGAGAGAGAGAGGGTAAAAGAGAGAGTGAGAGGGTAAAAGAGGGAGTGAGTGAGAGGGTAAAAGAGAGAGTGAGAGAGAAGATAAAAGAGAGAGAGTGAGTGAGAAGGTAAAAGAGAGAGCGAGAGAGAAGATAAAAGGGAGAGAGTGAGAGAGAGGGTAAAAGAGAGAGTGAGTGAGAGGGTAAAAGAGAGAGAGAGAGAGGGTAAAAGAGAGAGCGAGTGAGATGGTAAAAGAGAGAGCGAGTGAGAGGGTAAAAGAGAGAGTGAGAGAGAGGGTAAAAGAGAGAGTGAGAGAGAGGGTAAAAGAGAGAGTGAGCGAGAGGGTAAAAGAGAGAGTGAGAGAGAGGGTAAAAGAGAGAGAGAGGATAAAAGAGAGAGCGAACGAGAGGGCAAAAGAGAGAGGGAGAGAGAGGGTCAAAGAGAGAGGGAGAGAGAGAGCGAGTGAGCGATCTTGACCCGTGTGGCCCCGGCTGTCGAGGGAGCCATTCTGAGTGGCCGGGCGCAGCGATCCCTCTCAATTAGACGCGGCTTGTAGCTGCTAATGCGGATGAATGAATGTCACCTGCGTGGGCCGTGGGGGGGTGGTGAGGGATGTTTGTGTGTGTGCGCGCACGCGCGTGTTGGTGTAGGGAGCGGTAGTGTAGCAGTTCGCGCGCTACATTACGAACTTGGCGACCCGAGTTCGATTCCCACTCACGGCCAAAACCAGTGACGGTTATTTGAACCGGTCCTGGGCTTCCCCTCGGCCAGGGGTGGGGAACGTGCGGCCCGCGGGCCGTATAAGGCCCGCGAAATCATTTGGTGTGGCCCTGCCAAAGCAACCGCAGGCGGGACTCGAAATTCAATAAATCCAGGAGCAAACCTGGAAAAGCAGTTGCGAGTAGCAACATCTATATACCAGCTAACATCACACGCCTCACCAAACAGAAGCAGTTCCAGCCATCACATTAGGGGTGAGTTAATTAAATGTTTGACCAAATATAACGGGCTAATTTTCAAGTTGATAATTTTGTATGGACCGCGAATGATGTTATAAATATCCAAATGGACCTTGGCAGAAAAAAGATTCCCCGCCCCTGCCCGAGGCTAAGTCGGCGGCAGGGCGTGGTTGCTGGCCACTCACCCCCTCGTGTGCCATGCCTTCATAGGTGCTCGCTAATGACACTTGCCCCAACAGTTTATTCAGGTTGAATGGGGGGGTGGATCTTTGTTTTGTGTCGGTGTGAAGAGAGTCGTGTAGTGGTTTCCACACTGCAATACTAGTCAAGCAACCTAAGTTTGATTCTCGTTCATATCCAACATCAGTGACAAATACCTGTGTGTGTATGTCCATGTACCCCTGTGTGTACCCATGTTTGTGTATATAAATAGCCATGCTATCCTGTGCATGTGTGTGTACCTGTCTTTGTACATGCCTTTGCTAACCTCTGTGTGTATACTTACCCATGTATGTGTGTGTATAACCATGCTAACCTGTGTGTGTACTCATGCCATAACCCCCTTGTACATGAGTGTGTGTTTACCCGTATGTGTACGCATGTTCGATTCTTGTGGGGAGCGGTAGTGTAGCGGTTAGCGCGTTGCGCTACGAACCCGGCAACCCGGGTTCGATTCCCGCTCACGGCCAACACCAGTGACAATTATCTGAACCAGTGCTGGGCCTCCCCTAGGTCGACTCAGCCTCAAATGAGCACCTGGTGCGGTGTGTAAACATCGCTACTGGGGAGACAAAGGCGGTCGGGCGTGGTGCTGGCCACCCACCCCCTCGTGTACCGTTCCGGCCTTCATAGGTGCTCGCTAACAGCACTTGGCCCTACAGTCTGTTAAGGCTACACGGGGGATATTTGTATTTGTGCGCTACGAACCCAGTTGCGTTCCCGCTCACGACCAAAACCAGTGATGATTATCTAAACCGGTCCTGGGCCTCCTCTAGATCGACTCGGCCTCACACGAGTACCTGGTGCGATGTATAAATATCGCCACTGGGGAGGCAAAGGCGGCGGGGCGTGGTGTTACCGACCGACCACTCCCTCGTGTGCCGTGCCGGCCTTATTAGCCGCTCGTTAACGGCACTTTCCCCAACAGTTTGTTAACGCGACACGTGGGGGGGGTGCGGGAATCCTTGTGTGCTTGCGTCAGCTCGTGTAGGGGCGTGACGGAGGGCGTGCTCAGCTCGCTGGCGTGCTTGCCCCGACTGCGCATGCTGTGCCTGCGCGCGGTGCCCGACCTCCCCGACGACGCGCTGCGCCGCTTCCGCACGCTCACGCACAACCGCGTGCTCCTCACCCTGCCCCGCGAGAAGGAGTGCAACCACCAGATGTACGGCCTGCGGGGTCGCGACCGGTCAGTTTGCTGGGCCGCAAGCGCGCCGCACGAGCGTCGCCACGCTGCACCGCGAAAAGCGCCACCCTGCGCCGCCATCGCGCGCCCCCTGCCACCTTGGGTCACAGGAGCGTAAAATCGGAGACAAGCCGAGTTTATTGGTTTTGCGTGTATGCGTGTACCTTGCACTTCTTCTTTCACACCGTCTGTACGGAGGTGCAGGGGACGGATAACTAACTAAACACAGAGAGCATTTGCAAAGAAAGTTAGTTTTAAGTCTGTATTTAAAGGGCATAGCTCCGGGTCACTTCTTAATATCGGAAGGAAAAGAGTGTTCCAGATCGTCGCAGAAGCGCGTCTGAAAGCACGCGATACGGTGACCGTGTTTGTTCGATAGCTAGCCAAAAGCCGCTGCAAGGACGACTGGCGTTTGCTTGATAGTTGATGCTCCTTGACGAGATCAGCAAGGTGTTGTGGTTCATTTGTGGCAAGAACTTTCTGTGTAATGAGTGCGACCTTATAATGTATTCGTTCAGAAACCGGAAGCCAATGCAGCTAAGCGAGCACCGGACAGACACATTTGGATCTTGCAGTACCCATCACGACACGTGCTGAAGAATGCTGCAGCTTGCTAATATTTTTTCAGACGTCCCGTAGAGGAGTGAGTTGCAATAATCGAGCCTTGTCGATACAATGCTACACGCCACCGTGTTGGCTATGTTATGACTCAGTAGTGGTCGAATGTATCATAGAGCCCTGATATGAAAATTGCAGGATCTAACTATATTTTGCACGTGGTGATCAAATGACATTCTGGTCGAGTATGGTGCCGAGGCTGCGACCGCCACACCTTATCCTCCCACAATTTATTCCGCCTGAGCCTGAGTGCCAACCAGCAGAACCTCTTGATTTTTCTGGATTAAGTAGCATTTAGTTTCTTGCAAACCGCACACGTGCACTGCTCGCGTGCAATCTTCGAGGTTACCAAGGCTCTCCCTATCTAACTTTGACTTAACTGCGATGTACAATTGTGGGTTCCTTCCCCAGTGCCGATGTACAATAGCGTATCCGTTAGGTGCGGCCTCGTGCTTAATTATGTCCGGTCAGTCATATACCCAGGTTTCGGTAACGGGCCAATATGTCGAATCCACAATCGTTGATCAGATCCTGGATGAGCGCCGTCTTGTAGACTGTGGAGCGTGCGTTGACCAATCCAAAGTTTTCACAGGCGAGAACGAGAGGGACCAGGATAAGTATCATGTGCAAGAGTGACCTGGGTATGAGATAAAGTCCGTAGGTTGCAGGATTGAGATTGCAGGATCGAGGCAGAGATGACCAGGCGCAGGCTTTTCCCAGACTCCTGCTCAGGATCGGATTCACAACGTTCCGGGATTTGTTGGTGCGCGGGCCGAGCTCGCCTCTTGCCAGGCGCCTGCACACACTGACGTGGTGAAACCTTCCAAGTATCTCAGAGGTAGCTCTCGCAGTGTTTTGGAACGTGGTGACGCCCGAGGTAAAGATTCTGTGTATGGGGGGAGGGGGATCTTTGTTGTTGTCATGGTAATCGTGATGCATCCCCACCCTCTCTCTCCGTGTCTGCCCCCCACACCCCCAACAGTTACACTCTCGCCTGCCCGTGAGTCCCCACGCGTTCACGCAGGGATCTCCGGGGGGTCTCGGAGGCTTTCGGGGTCCCCGCGGGGGGCGCAGGGAAGGTGAGGTTGAATGACGTCGGAGAGATGGAGCCCCCATGAGGAATTCTGGGGTCCCCCCGCATCTCCGCTCCTCCCTTCCCCAATTCGACCCCCACTCCCCCCCCTCGGCGAGGGGGCGGCCCCCACTTCTCTTGCTCCCTGTGGGAGACGCGATGGCACTGCCGCTCCCGCTTGAACTTACGTGGGGGGACGGAGGGGCCCCCCAATCCGTGAGCGTGGGCCGGCACGAGGAAGGACGAGCAAGACAGCCGGGATGGCACGCGACATGGTGACCCAGCTGGGTCGGCCACCCAGGTGACCCGGTGACCTGCTGACCCGATGTCCTGTTGACCCAGCTACACATGGTCAAGGCAGGCGGAGGCGTGGATGAGAATGCAGCCGAACTTTTTGAGTTTTTCAGTTGCGAGGGGTGGAATTTACGCGAGGTTCCGTGTGCGCCCATGTGGAGGAGGGGCACACTTCTATGGGCGGGTGCGGAGGGGTAGCGGCTGCTCTCCCTGTGCCCCCCTCCCTTCCCACTCCACCAGGACCCCCCCCCCCCCCCCCCCCCACTCCCCACACTCACCGAGCCCCCACCCCCCTCCCTCATTCCCCAAACAAGAAGCCACTTACTCCAGTCTGGGCAACAGTTCACGGCTTGCTCATTGGGGCAAATCGCAATGATTGTGCGAGCGGCAACAGCAATAGCAGCAGCAACGGCAATTATTAATTGAGGTGGATTGGGGTGGTGTGTGTGTGTCAGCCTGGCTTGTATGGTAATCTGTGCTTGTGTGTAGTGTGTGCGTGTTTGTGTGAATGTGTGTGGCCGCGTGTGGTCGTGGGTATTTGTGTACAATCGTACCTGGTTGTACGTGTGCGTGTGGCCATGGCATGTGTGAGTGGGTGTGTGTGTGGCTACGGATGTGGTCGTGTGGTCCTCCCTGTTTACCGGAGAGTGCTGGAATTAACTTACTGAGCCATTTGCTTCTCGGTAACAAAACAAATTAAGCAGCACAGTGGGGTGGGCGTGGTAGAGAGAGGGGAAGAGATATGCAGGGAAAAGTTATTGTTAGGAGAGGAGACGGGCAAGAATTAGAACGGAGTGTTGGATGGGGGCCCATGACCTCCACAACCCCTCTGGTCCCCAGGCAGGGGAGGGGCGGGGTGGGGGGTGGGGGCTCCTGTCACTCAGAACCAGTTGAGGCTCGCTCGGAGAGCCACGCCAAGTCACAGAGCTTGCCACTTTCGCTTGTTGGCAGTCAGCGGGAAACAATAATGATAGGTAATGGCAATATAGGTAATTGATGACTTATGCATCGGGTGAGATCCCATCGAGACGTGGACATCAAACACAGGGTTGGTTGGTGGAGGAGGATGCCGGTGTGAATATCGTGACAGGAGCGGGGGGGGGGGGATCCACACGTGCACCGGCTCGGTGGAGACCCCGGGCTCGCGCGGTGCTGTAGACGTGTAGCGATTCAGCCGCGCGAAACGTCCCCTGGATCTCGATCACAATTCCTGAAGCGGTCGTTCTTCTTGTCGGTGCCGTCATTTGTCCCGTCGCATCTGGACGGGCGCGCCGTGGCCCCGTGTTTCTCATTTCCACCGTTTGTCTCGTCCGTAGTGACCGCTGTCCATGTAACGTCGAGTTTGGACTGTTTGTTTCCTCTGTTTGTTGACTTTCTGGACTGTCGGTCATTTCCGCACGGCATCTCTCATTTCTGCCGTTTGTCGCGTTCTCTTCGTCTCATTTGTTCCATCTCGTTGGTTGTGATTATCATTCTGAAGGGAAAATTCTGAGTGTTTATTCGCACACAGTCATAAAATAATATATCTTTATTTTGGCATCGATCAGCCCCCCCACGCCGGTCTATGTAACACTACCCTTAGCATCCTCCCCGACTTAACTAAAATTCCTCTCTGCAGCGAAAGAGCCCACCGAATGGGTCGGCTCTGGCTCGGCTCTGGCTCGGCTCTGGCTCATCTCGGCTCAGCTCTGACTCAGCTCTGGCTCGGCCTCCAACACAGTGGCTCAGCTCGGGCTTTGAGCCGCGTAGTTTCCTTTGAAAGGTACGCGACGAGCATGCGGCTCTGCTGTGGCCTCAGCGCTGGCTCCGCACGCAAAATCGCGAGCACCGCTGGGGACTGTGCTCAGAGCTGGCTCGAGTTAAGTGGAGGATGATGACTTTCAGCCCGCTCACTTAAGCCAGAGCCAAGCCCGAGCCATGATTTAAGAACGTGGGCCTAAGATTTGTTTATTATTTAAAGCGCCGAGTCACCTGGAAAACCAGTCGTCGTCGCTTCTCAGCGCAAACTGTTCGCGGCAGCAGTAGCAGAACGTCACTGTGTAGCCATTTTTGAAATCTATTTGTTGAAGTTTTTTTACGTTTTTTACAGCGGAGCCATCATCTCCCTTGCTGGGTGATGGTGGGTGGGGGGGGGAGGACTCGTTTACACGCGGGATTTATTCCCGGGTTTTTGCACTCTATTTTGTAATTTCGCCCAAATTTGTGGTTAAATTTCCGACTGGGGTGCAACTGTATGAGTACAGTTTTTTGTTTGTTCTCCCCTCGTTCTTCACAGGGTTTCCTCCCAAATTCCCACCAAAAACTATTAAACAGAAACATAAACCTTACAACGGCAATCTTTTCAAACTTGCCCTCAAATGACTCACCTTACTCGGCTCCCCACCCCCCCTACTGGCAGACTAACGGGCATCGCCGAGCCAGTCGCTGACGTCACCGTATGCCGCACAGGGACAGCTGCCAATGAGAGGGGCCCTGCGCTCCGAGCCACTTTTGTTGCGTGGATATCGAATGCAATGAACGCGTCAGTTAATTTTGTTCGTGGACAATGCGTGTTGCTTCGTATGTCGTGAGCAGTGTTCGCGGTGAATCGCTACATGCCTATTGCAGAGAGTCAGATGACGATGGTGGTGTGGTGATTGTGGTGGGGAGGGGGGGGGGGGTGCTCGGTTCTGAGATGGCTGTGGAGTGCCCTGCCGCTTGTAAATATGATTTATTTATGATGACGATGTTGAGGGCTGGTGCCATGGAACGTCTGTTCGGTGGTCCCGGCATTGGACCCACGCGCCTGTTCACTCTGGGATGTCGCATGCGCGTGCATTTCTCAATAAAAACAACGCTTACTGATTTGTTTACATCCGCACGCGTCACCGGTGATTGCACGCGCACACGGAACGCACGGACCCCGTGCTGATCAGGCGGCGTAAACAGAGCGGCTGCCGTGGGTTTTCTTGGAAGCCGATGACATCAGCGTGGTGATGACTTTGTTTTCCAGAACACGGTGCTTTCCGGCTGATGAGTTCTCACACACAGAGACCCACGGACTCTCGCCGAGACCCACGGACTCGCACCGTAACACGCACACGTCCGTAATAGACGCGGGAGAATAGACTACCGTAAAAGGTTTATTTGCAGCCCTGCCTACTGCTGCACGCAACATAGCCGCTCAGCAGCCTATAGCACCTGATTTATTAATGGCGGTCGCCCATCCAGTCTCATCCCTTGCTTAGCTTGCGAGACGGGTGCTTTCCGGGTGAATTGGTCGTGTCCGGCAGTTGAGTCAGTGGTAAGTGGAACAATTCCCGAAGCCCAATTACAATCCACCCCCTACCCCGTGGGCAGAGCAAATTCAGATCCTTGGACAGCGCCCATTACTCAGGGTCACGGGCGGCTCTCCTCGCACATTTACACTTATCAGCAACCGTTGTCTATCCTCTGCTGGATGTAATAGTACCGATGCCACAGTCATCATGTGCCACGTTCTAAGCGCTGCTGGGTGGATGTGTTCCCCCACGCCGTCCTCACGGTCCTGCGATGGCGCAACGCATCTCTCATTCCTACACGCGAACTGATCACGGCGGTCGTGCTTTCGGGCCCTTTCTCTCCTTTGTCGTTCTGTTCGGAGTCTCCATCGGCCATCATCCCTCCGAGTGATTTGTTTTGTCTGCCCCATGCTCGTTGCCATGTAGATCAGGGGAACAAACGCGCATCTCGGTCTAACGGCCTTGAGACCGTCTCGTTTTATCTGCACTTTAACCACCGCACTGAAGGTCACAACAACACTCGCCGACTCGGCCACCCACTCATTCAGCCATCCACCAACTCACCAACTCACCCACTCATTCAGCACCCACTCACCAACTCACCCACTTATTCGCCATCCACCCACTCACCAACTCACTCACCCACTCAACCATCCACCCACTCACCCACTCAACCATCCACCCACTCACCAACTCACGCACTCATTCAGCCATCCACCCACTCACCAACTCACCCACTCATTCAGCCATCCACCCATTCATCAACTCACCCACTCATTCAGCCATCCACCCATTCACCATCTCAGCCATCCACCAACTCACCGCACTGCGAGTCACAACACACTCTCCCACTCGGCCACCACCTCGCTTTCGCTTTCCACTGCTACCTGCTTTGGAATTCTCTCCCATCGTCTCTTTTCCCAATGTATTACCTTCCCCAATTCGATGAACGTATTCATTTGAATCGATCGCAAATTAAATTGTGCCGTTTATTGCTGGCCGCTTGTTTTGGACCAGTGCACATAGACCGTGAATTGAAGACGAAAAAACGGAGACACGGTGTTGACCTCGGAAAACGAAACACTTTTATAAACGGTGGTTATACCCCCCCCCCCGCCGCGCCCGTGTGCGCCAGTAGCCGCGTTAAAGGCTCGCCAATATCGTTCTCGCGGTCCCCTAGAGGGGTCCGTGTACCCCCGTTATGGGGACCCCCTTGCGACAGTAGTGCGCGCGACTTCCTAACGGGGGGCTCTGGCTCCCCCGCGCGAGGAACCGCGCCCCGCCAACCAAACCCGCCACGCCGAAGAGACGATGGCGCTCTCCTACCGGTGCGCTGTGTCGGATCTCCTCTGCTCCAGGAATTGACCCCTCCCCTCGTCGAGTGAGTGGCGACTTGGGGTCAATAAACGAGACCGCGGGGTGCGCCGGGGTCCCCCCCCTCCCCACCGTGGGGGTTCTAATTAGCGACCCCCGTCACCTGCCATCTCGTGAGGCCCGAAATAACGAGCCGCAATCACCTGCACTCGGCTAACGTCCCAAATAAATCATCGCCTCCCGTCACCGCCCCCCACCCCGCCTACCTCTGCAAGACGGGCCCACGTCAAGCACCTCGCTCCCAAAATACCGCGACCCCCGTCACCTCCCGTGACGTCACCCCCCAAATAATAATCATCATCCCATCACAGGCGTCGCCCGCATGCACACACAATCACAATTCCATCATCTCGCTGTGCATCGCCCTCCCTCTCCGTGACGCAGTGGCATCACCACCTCCTCCAGTAGAGGGCTATCTGGAGCAGTCAGTTCCCAATCTTTTCGAGTGCGTGGGACCCCCTTTTCAACCTCCAAACATTTCGCGGACCACCACACGCTGCTAGCTGTTTGAAATTGACGAGGATGTTGTCGTTGTTGTTGTTTGCCCTTTCCCTGCAGTAGCCTCGCGGAACACCGGGCATCCGCGGACCGCAGGCTGGGAGCCGCTGCTCTAGCCCGGCGTTCCTCACTCATTTTCAGAGGCGGCCGACCGGTTTCGCCGATGAGACATCGTCAGTGCGAGGGCCGCCACACCATTTGAAACCATTGGGGGGGGGGGGGGGGGGGCTTGACAGCAACACGACGACGATGATGATGGGGGGTGTTCTCACTCTGTGTGTCTTGTCGGGGTGGTGGGGGGCCGCCAGTAGCCCGCGGGCCTTGCGCTGAAGAATGCCGCCCTCGAGGGTATATTTGGTCGAGGCGTACACGTCTGTCACACATCTTGAACGAGGTGGTGGTACCCACACTTTGCCCCCACCGCACTAACGGTGCTGAATCGAATCGACTGCGACCTCTGGGACTGCAGGTCCGGTGCCGCTGGTCGCCGTTGCACCACGAAGGCAGGTTACGATTCTCGCTCCGTGTGCGGCAAATCGGTGATCTTTTTTTTGCTAATCGTGCGATTACCGGTAATGCAACACAAAAAAACCCCTTGATTTAACAACCCTGCTACAAACCCAGCGTCCGAAGTTAAATTCTCGGCCCCGATCAACATGAGTGGCGAGTGATGTCTGAACGGGTCATGAGCCTCCTTTACGAGGTCGACTTCGCTTTAAAAATGAGAATCAGCCCTGGGGAGGCAAAGGCGGCCGGGTGTGGTGTCCTCCACACCACCCCCCTCGTGCACCGTGCTGGCCTCTATCGGTGCTCGCTCGCTCGCGGCGCTTGCCCCCTCCAGCCTGTGTGGACTACGCGGGGAAAGTTAGCGAGGAGGCTGAGGTGTGAGTAGAGGCTGGTGTGAGTAGAGGCTGGGTGTGAGTAGGGGCTGAGTGTGAGTAGGGGCTGAGTGTGAGTAGGGGCTGGGTGTGAGTAGGGGCTGGGTGTGAGTAGGGGCTGGTGTGAGTAGGGGCTGAGTGTGAGTAGGGGCTGGGTGTGAGTAGGGGCTGGGTGTGAGTAGGGGCTGAGTGTGAGTAGGGGCTGGTGTGAGTAGGGGCTGAGTGTGAGTAGGGGCTGGGTGTGAGTAGGGGCTGGGTGTGAGTAGGGGCTGGGTGTGAGTAGGGGCTGGGTGTGAGTAGGGGCTGAGTGTGAGTAGGGGCTGGGTGCGAGTAGGGGCTGGGTGTGAGTAGGGGCTGAGTGTGAGTAGGGGCTGGGTGTGAGTAGGGGCTGGGTGTGAGTAGGGGCTGGGTGCGAGTAGGGGCTGGGTGTGAGTAGGGGCTGAGTGTGAGTAGGGGCTGAGTGTGAGTAGGGGCTGAGTGTGAGTAGGGGCTGGTGTGAGTAGGGGTTGGGTGTGAGTAGGGGCTGAGTGTGAGTAGGGGCTGGGTGCGAGTAGGGGCTGGTGTGAGTAGGGGCTGAGTGTGAGTAGGGGCTGAGTGTGCTAGGGGCTGGTGTGAGTAGGGGCTGGTGTGAGTAGAGGCTGAGTGTGAGTAGGGGCTGGGTGTGAGTAGGGGCTGAGTGTGAGTAGGGGCTGAGTGTGAGTAGGGGCTGAGTGTGAGTAGGGGCTGGGTGTGAGTAGGGGCTGAGTGTGAGTAGGGGCTGGGTGTGAGTAGGGGTTGGGTGTGCTAGGGGCTGAGTGTGAGTAGGGGCTGAGTGTGAGTAGGGGCTGGGTGTGAGTAGGGGCTGGTGTGAGTAGGGGTTGGGTGTGCTAGGGGCTGAGTGTGAGTAGGGGTTGGGTGTGCTAGGGGCTGAGTGTGAGTAGGGGCTGAGTGTGAGTAGGGGCTGGTGTGAGTAGGGGCTGAGTGTGAGTAGGGGCTGGGTGTGAGTAGGGGCTGGGTGTGAGTAGGGGCTGGGTGTGAGTAGGGGCTGGGTGTGCTAGGGGCTGAGTGTGAGTAGGGGCTGGGTGTGCTAGGGGCTGGTGTGAGTAGGGGCTGGTGTGAGTAGGGGCTGGTGTGAGTAGGGGCTGGTGTGAGTAGGGGCTGGGTGTGAGTAGGGGCTGGGTGTGAGTAGGGGCTGGGTGTGAGTAGGGGCTGAGTGTGAGTAGGGGCTGGTGTGAGTAGGGGCTGGTGTGAGTAGGGGCTGGTGTGAGTAGGGGCTGGTGTGAGTAGGGGCTGGGTGTGAGTAGGGGCTGAGTGTGAGTAGGGGCTGAGTGTGAGTAGGGGCTAGGTGTGAGTAGGGGCTGAGTGTGAGTAGGGGCTGGTGTGAGTAGGGGCTGGTGTGAGTAGGGGCTGGTGTGAGTAGGGGCTGGGTGTGCTAGGGGCTGGTGTGAGTAGGGGCTGGTGTGAGTAGGGGCTGGTGTGAGTAGGGGCTGAGTGTGAGTAGGGGCTGGTGTGAGTAGGGGCTGGCTGTGCTGGCGTGGTGGTTGACGTGTGGTTAGCGCTACGCTGCGCTACGAACCCAGCCACCCGAGTTCGATTCGCGCTCACGGCCAACACCACCGGTGACGATTATCTGAAGCGGTCCTTGGCCTCCCCTCGGTCGACCTGGCCGCAAATGAGTACCTGGTGCTGTGTGTAGTAAACATCGTCACTAGGGAGACAAAGGCGGCCGAGCGTGGTGCCGGTCACCCACCCAAACTTGTTCCGTGCCGACCTTCATAGTTATTCGCTGTCTGTTGAAAGCTATGGGGGGGGGGGGGGGGGGGGTATTTGTCTTTCGTGTAGATTCTGTGTGTGTGTGGGATGTGTATGTGTGTGTTGATGATGGAGTGTGTATTTTGGGTGTGTGTGTTTGTTGAGGATTGTGTGTGTGTGTGTTGAGGATGGTGTGTGTGTGTTGAGGATGGTGTGTTTGTGTTGAGGATGGTGTGTGTGTTGAGGATGGTGTGTGTGTGTGTGAGGATGGTGTGTGTTGAGGATGGTGTGTGTGTTGAGGATGGTGTGTGTGTTGAGGATGGTGTGTGTGTGTTGAGGATGGTGTGTGTGTTGAGGATGGTGTGTGTGTGTGTTGAGGATGGTGTGTGTGTGTTGAGGATGGTGTGTGTGTGTGTGAGGATGGTGTGTGTTGAGGATGGTGTGTGTGTTGAGGATGGTGTGTGTGTTGAGGATGGTGTGTGTGTGAGGATGGTGTGTGTGTTGAGGATGGTGTGTGTGTTGAGGATGGTGTGTGTGTGTTGAGGATGGTGTGTGTGTGTTGAGGATGGTGTGTGTGTGTGTGAGGATGGTGTGTGTTGAGGATGGTGTGTGTGTTGAGGATGGTGTGTGTGTTGAGGATGGTGTGTGTGTGAGGATGGTGTGTGTGTTGAGGATGGTGTGTGTGTTGAGGATGGTGTGTGTGTGTTGAGGATGGTGTGTGTGTGTGTTGAGGATGGTGTGTGTGTGTTGAGGATGGTGTGTGTGTGTTGAGGATGGTGTGTGTGTTGAGAATGGTGTGTGTGTTGAGGATGGTGTGTGTGTGTTGAGGATGGTGTGTGTGTGAGGATGGTGTGTGTGTTGAGGATGGTGTGTGTGTGAGGATGGTGTGTGTGTTGAGGATGGTGTGTGTGTGTGTTGAGGATGGTGTGTGTTGAGGATGGTGTGTGTTGAGGATGGTGTGTGTGTTGAGGATGGTGTGTGTGTGAGGATGGTGTGTGTGTTGAGGATGGTGTGTGTGTGTGAGGATGGTGTGTGTGTTGAGGATGGTGTGTGTGTGTTGAGAATGGTGTGTGTGTGTTGAGGATGGTGTGTGTGTTGAGGATGGTGTGTGTGTTGAGGATGGTGTGTGTGTTGAGGATGGTGTGTGTGTGTGTTGAGTATGGTGTGTGTGTTGAGAATGGTGTGTGTGTGTTGAGGATGGTGTGTGTGTTGAGGATGGTGTGTGTGTTGAGGATGGTGTGTGTGTTGAGGATGGTGTGTGTGTGTTGAGGATGGTCTGTGTGTATCTGTGGTCTCTCCCCATAACCCGCCCTGGTCTCTTGTGACGTGGTTTGGAGGGGAGGTCACCTTCCTGCTCGAGTTCCATCTTCTGCGGTGCGTGTGTCCGTGCGTGTGTCTGTTCGTGTGTGTGTGTGTTGCGCGTGTGTCTTTGTTTTTGTGTGTCTGTGCGTGTGTGTACCTGTGCGTGTATGTGTCTGTGCGCGTGTGTGTCTGTGTGGGTCGACTCAGCCTGAAATGAATACCTAGTGTGGTATGTAAACATCGCCACTAGGGAGACAAAGGCGGTCGGGCGTGGTGCTGGCAACCCACCCCGTCGTGTGCCGTTCCGGCCTTTATAGGTGCTCGCTAACAGCACTTGCCCCAACAGTCTCTTAAGGCTATACGAGGGATCTTTGTCTTTTTGTCTGTCCGTGTGTGTTCGTGTGTGTGAATGTATATGTCTTTTCGTGTGTCGATGCTTGTTGGTGAATCTCTGTGTGCAAGTATGCATTGGCTGTTTGTACTTGTGTCTGTGTGTAAGCGTCTCGGCGCGTCTATGTGTGTGTGGATGTGGGGAGCGGTGGCGGAGTGGTTAGCGCACTGCGCTGAACATTTGGTCTTCTCTGCCTGAAATGATTGCGTTTGCTTTTCCATGAGTCCACGATTGTCACCAATGATTTAGTGCGCACCACTGGCCGCCTTTGTCTTTCTCTCGATGATGTTTACGCTGCTCGTCACGTCGCCAGGTTATAGCACAGTGATCTAACCGCTGCATCACCGCCCCACACAGACACATCCTACATCATCACCACCACCACCGCCACCCACACGCAGCAACAATCACCATTCGCTGCTACGTTGCAGTGACGCCACAACGGCGAATGTGCCAGGCTAGGTGCACGTTGAGGCTATCACGTGAAGTGTGGAAGGCTCGCTGGCAGGTTATGGGAGAGACCCAGGTACCATGCGTAGACTGGTGTGCCAGGCTAGGTTCAGGAGATCGCGGGACAGACCCAGGTTCCATGGCTTGACTGAGATGGATGGCAGACACACCATCTTGCGCTCCCCACTTTTGTCACCTCGCTGCGTTTTAGCCGCCCAGCGCTCCGGTCGTTGTTGTGAGCGTCACTCCTCTGCCCTCTGCTATTTATGGAGGGCGATTTGTCTCCAATTGCCCAGTAGCAGCGTCCTTCACGAGCCTCCTCCGTAGCGGCCGATCTTGAAACCGCTGGTATCTCCACCATCACCGCCATCATCATCATCACCCTGATCATCATCCTAACATCACCTCGTCACGTGCGAATTGCATAGCCCGCGGTGAATTGAACAGCGTGGATATGTGGGGAGACGGGAGATGGGAGAGAGAGAGTGTGGGAGATGAGAGAGATGGAGAGAGAGAGAGGAGTGGGATATGGGAGAGAGAGGTCTACGGAGGGAGATTGAGAGAGTGTGGGAGATGAGTGGGGGGTTGTGATGGGAAGAGATACGTGGGAAGATAGAGCCACTGAGATGGGGAGGGAAATGGAGCGAGAGGCGAGAGATGGAGGGAGGTGGATTAACCCCCAACACCCCCCCCATCTCTCCCAGCAGCCCCCCCCCCACTTCACACACATCGATCCCCCCCACGTGCCCCCCACCCGGTGTTAATTATTGAAGGCGCGCGTGTCTCCCATCGATCGCGCACAGATCCACTTACAGTGGCGGGGGGCAAGGGTGGGAGCCAGGGGTGGGAGCCAGGGGTGGGAGCCAGGGGGGGGGGCACTCAGAGTCGAAGTCTCCTCGAACTTCACGCTCCGATGGTAGAGGGGAGGGGGAGGCGAGGGGGAGGAACGGGATCAGCGGCGCAGCTGTCGATGAGACGAGGTCAAGCCCCTCCCCTCGCTCCGTCCATCCCCCCCGACCTCCCCCATCTCTCCCTCCACCTCCCCAGCGCTCTCCCATTCAGCTCTCCCCTCGCCATCTCCAAACCTCTGCATCCATCTCATCCTCTCGCTCTCTCCTAGCCTCACCCTCTCTCTCTCTCTCTCACTTCACCAACCCACTCCCCAGTGATTATAATTGGTGGCTGTAGTGAGGAGCGGATGATGATGTTGATGAGATATTTGGTGACGTTAACGTGAGTGATAGTCCCGTTGATGCTGTTGGCAATGAAGTTGATGATGGGAATATGGTGATGTTTGTGGTTATGGTGATGTTTGTGGTGATGGCGTGTCTTGTGATGTTGGTGGTGGTGATGCTGGTGGTGGTGATGTTGGTGGTGGTAATGTTGGTGGTGGTGGTGGTGATGCTGGTGGTGGTGATGCTGGTGGTGGTGATGTTGGTGGTGGTGGTGATGTTGGTGGTGGTGATGCTGGTGGTGGTGATGTTGGTGGTTAATTCCGTGATGAGCCGAGTCGCTGATTTCCCCGCGCTCATCTACAGAGCAATGTGGGGACGCGAGCAGCTATCCCCCCTGATCCTTCCGGGGTCCCCTCTCCCTCCCCCCCTCTACGCCCCAAGCGCCCCACTTTGGGGAACAGAGGTGTGGGGCATCAGACAGACAGTCGGGATCAGAGATTCATTTTACACTGCAACATTGTTTTGGTGGTTGGTAGACTGCAGTAGGCGGCTCGTGACGAGTCACAGTCCACGGTGGACAGGATGTGGTGTGCCGGTGTGGAAACATTTGCCGGGTCACCAACCAGGTCAGACCCGGCAGAAATTAAGCAGTGGTCTTGGCTTCCTCATCCATCTCCCCACCACCCACACCCACTCTAAACATCTTCCTACCACCCACACCCACTCTAAACATCTCCCCACCACCCACACCCACTCTCACCATCTCCCCACCACCCACCACACTCTAAACATCTCCCCACCACCCACACTAAACATCTCCCCACCACCCACATCCACTCTAACAATCTCCCCACCACCCACACCCACTCTCACCATCTCCCCACCACCCACACCCACTCTCACCATCTCCCCACCACCCACACCCACTCTAAACATCTCCCCACCACCCACACCCACTCTAAGCATCTCCCCACCACCCACTCTCACCATCTCCCCACCACCCACACCCACTCTAGACATCTCCCTACCACACACACCCACTCTAAACATCTCCCCACCACCTACACCCACTATAAACATCTTCCTACCACCCACACCCACTCTAAACATCTCCCCACCACCCACACCCACTCTAGACATCTCCCCACCACCCACACCCACTCTAAACATCTCCCCACCACCCACACCCACTCTAACAATCCCCCCACCACCCACACCCACTCTAAGCATCTCCCCACCACCCACACCCACTCTCGCCATCTCCCCACCACCCACACCCACTCTCGCCATCTCCCCACCACCCACACCCACTCTCGCCATCTCCCCACCACCCACACCCACTCTAACAATCTCCCACATCTCAATGGGCTGTGACCAGTCGCTATTTGGGCGGGGCTAGTAGCGGGGGTGGGCGTGGTTATGTAAAAGTAGGCGGGGCTTGCAGAGGCCGGGGCCACCGGTGCGCCACGCCTCCCGGGTTGAGCCTCCCGAATACCGCGGCCGATCCGACAATGAGCGCGACTGCCACAGTGTGACGAGTGACACCCGAGTTGGTCACGTGCACGGACACCCGGGCACGTGACCCGCGAGACAACGAGTAGAGGGGCTGACCGCGTCGATCGTTTCGACAACAACGACGCTCGACGCGGCGTTTGACAAATGCGCGCGCCACCGATACACGCACGCGCGGGCGCGCGCGAAAGACGAGGCCTCGTTGAGTTGCGCGTCTCGCCCAGTGGATATATTAACACCAACACTCATATTGCGGATATTCAAGTGCGACACGGCACACTGCACGTAAGGTATATGGTCTCGGTGGATACATGTAATGAAGCTTTGTGCTCTTACCATTCTCATCATCGAATAATAATAATTACCCTAACAGTCTCTCGGCTTTAATTACAGTTCGTGGTTCCCATTGTTGATGTTGGCGCCACCGTCGTTGTGGTTGCATCATGGAAGGGCGCTCAAGGCCTTCTTGGCACCGGCACTCGCACCTACGGTCAACATCACCAGTCACGACCGCCGGTGGCGATCTCACCGCCGACCTCGAGTGGTGGTGTTCTCCAGTCGTGATGCTACTCGTGGTCTCCAGTCGTGATGATCTCACTGGCGGTCTCCAGCAGTGCCAATCTCCAGTCGTGCTGATCTCCAGTGTTGGCGATCTCCAACGGTGGCGATGATCTCGGTGACGACTGCCGGTGATGACCGCCGAGCGCCTTCCACAACTGTGCGGCAGCGGCGATGGTGGTGACGACGATGACGATGATGGCGATCGTGGGAACTAGGTGTAAAGTGATGATGATAACCATGATTTATGGAGATGATTACGGTAGCTGAGAGATTAGTTGAGATAAATGATCGACGTGGTGATGGTGGCCATGATCATGAACACAATGATGATGTTGACCAATAGCGATGACGGCGAAGACAGCGATGATGGTTATGACGACAGCGATGGTGAATGTCGATGGACACGGTTGGTGGGTGGTGATGCAGACGACGACGTCGCCTCTTGGTCGCGATAGCTCCATGTCTGTCTGATATGCTTTAAATATATATACGATCCTCGTCGCACGGAGTGAAAACCAGCGGGAGGTCACGGAGGCCACGAAATCCCCCACGCGGTGTGCGGTGTGGCCGGGCGGGGCGTTGTGGGGGGGATGCTGATCGCGAGGTTAGAGGAGGCGGCGGAGAGGATGACGACGGGAATCTTCGCAGCGCCAGTTTGTCAAGCGTCCCTCTGTAGGCTGTGGGCCGTGGTTGCGGCCTCCCACCACGACCTCTCCTTTTGTGGTCCTGCTGCTGTTTTTGTGTTGAGAAGGCACAGGGGAGGTGACCAGGGTCTCGGGGCCCCAAGTGAGGCCGAGAGAGGAGGTGGAGGGGGGTGAACACCTCCGGTGTTGTCACTGCACCAGTCCTGGACTCCTTCGAGGCCAACATGACCCCTCCCCCACCACCCCCCTCGTGTCTCCTCACCCAGGGGCCCCGGGGCCCGGAGCAGCCTCCGCTCGGCCGAACACCTCCCTCACGCCATGAGCTCGGGCGTCAGCTAGACAGCTCCATGTCCTCTTTAACTTAACACGCAAGGGTCCATAAGTTGCTGCTGCTGCAGCAGCTGTTGCTGCTGTTACAGCAGAAGGGAAATCCCATCACGATTTGAGGGGCCCCAAAGGTCTCCAGCCGACGGGGCCTCGCGAGGCCCGGCAGAGCCGCGGCCTCACCAGGACGCCGTGCCCAGCATCACCTGAGGCAGAGGAGCGAGGCCGCCAGGCCTGGGAGCAGGGCCCAGGCGCGGCCCAGGCACATTCCGCAGGCTCTGCTGTTGAGATTGTTTGGCTTCGCTGTGGAGAGAGCAGTAACACAGAAAAGATATGTTCCCCACCACCACAATTCACACAATCTTGCCATTATTATCACCACCCCAACCACGACATTTTCGCAATTTTGCCATTATCACCACCACAATTCACACAATCGTGCCATTATTATCACCACCACCACAACCATCACATTTTCACAATCTTGCCATTATCAGCACCTCCACCACCAGCACACTTTTCACAATCTTGCCATTATTATCACCACCACAACCACAATTTTCACAATCTGCCCATGATCATCACAACCACAACCACAATGATCACAATCTTGCCATCTCCATCACCACTGCCACTCAATTATCACAATATTGGCATTATCGCCACCACCACTACCACCACAATTTTCACAATATTTCCATTATCACCACCACAATTTTCACAATCTTGCCATTATCATTACTACCACCACTACAACCAAAGTTTTCACAATATTGCCATTATAACCACTGCCACACCACGATTTTAACAATCTTAACATTACCATCACCACCACAACTACAGTTCTCAAAATATTGCTATTATCACCACAACCACGTAAAAAACAACATTTATGGTGCCTGTGGGTGAGCTCTTCCACTGGAGGCGTGAGATGAGTGGTCCTGCTGAGGTAGAACGTGAGCTGTGAGGTGAGTGAGCCTGGTGAGATGTGATGGGGTGTAGGTGTAGACATGCGAGCGCTGGGGGTTGGAGACTCACACCCGGATGAGATCGATGGCTTCTCACAGTTCCCGTCCACCACCGTCACGTCATCGATGGCGATGTCTCCCTCCACTCCCGACCCACGGATCCCTTCCACGATCAGCTGGGGTGTTCATCATGGGGAGTAAGGTAACGGTTTGTCACGGATATCGGGGTTATGTTAAGGTGTGTATGTGTAAGGGTGTGTGTCGGTGCAAGGGTGTGTGTGTGTGTTAGAAATTCCAGGGGATTGTGGGAGGCACCGTGTGGACAAAGCAACACTCCCATCGGCTATTTACTGAGGTTTTATTTTTTTACTTTACACACCCCACCAGGTGCTCATTTGAGGCTGAGTCGACCGAGGGGAGACCCAGGACCGGCTCAAGCAATTGTCACCGCCGTTGGCCCCCGAGCGGGAGTCGAACTCGGGCCGCCGGGTTCGCCACCGCTTCCCGCATCGGAGCGACCACCGCCAGCAACGCCGCGATTAATCGATTCGCGACCCCCGTCTCGTGGTGAGCTTCTCCTTTGTATTCTTTCCTCGTTTGTTGCGTCCCATGGGCAATAGCCGTGGCCTAAACGTAGCAGCATCTCATTCGCGTACACTTCGCGTGAACCGTCCTCCAGCGTCACGACGGTATTAATAGACGTCATACGTAGACTTTAACGACCAATATTACAACTCGCAATTGGTTACTTTAGCGTTAGACCACGCGGGCTTAATGACAATTTTCAGCGATGTTGGCTCTGTCGGGTGTGCTGAGGGTATAGCTGCAAATTGGCAAGATACCAACACAATATAACCCAACAAGTTACGACTGCAATTACGAATCGTGGTAATCAACGCGTATAGATGCATCGACATACACGCCTCTACTGGCCAACGTATCCGATGCAGTACAGCACAGTCCTTTTGGCAATCCACTGCTGGATGAAGGCCTCCCGGGGGGGGGGGGTGTCTGTGTTAACCATACTTCACTGCCACTCAGGAGGGCACTGCTGCTGCTGCTCTTTGGTGAAGGTGGAGCGTGGAACGCAGTGCAAGGCCCGCGGGCCACTGACGGCCCCTGGTGGCCTTTAGTGCGCCCCCACCCCCCCCCCGACAAGACACACAGAGTGACAATACCTCCCCCCCCCTCCATCATTTTTCACAAATGGCGTGGCGGCCCTCACACTGACGATGTCGTATCGGCCAAAGTGGCCTCCCCTCACTTCTGAAAATTAGCGAAGAACTCTTGGGGTAAATGAAGTGGGGAACAACGGAGCGGTTTGTTCCCACTGCCCTCTGCTGCCCACCACGTAGGCTGCTGCAGCCTGCAGCAGCCGATGACACCTTTATAATACAGTTTTTTTAAAAGCGATCTAACCCAAAAATCGCGTAAATATTTACGCGATCTAACCCCCAAACAACTATATTATGGATGATTCTGGTCACGAAAGCCTACGCGTTAACGTGACACCCTTGTTACGCGCGGTGATTGCCCACCCAAGAAGAGCTATCCAGCCATCAACCCTGCCGAGCTTCCGAAAGCTTTGGTGAGATGGAGCCCAATTGGGGGTTGTGGACGCCTGCTCACTCGCAGGTCCACCCAACCCCTCCCCTCGAACCCGCCCCACCACCCAACCCCTTCGTGCCTATGGGACCCGAGACAAATGTGGTGACCTTTCCGACACGAATGACAGACGCGGGCGGCTACCTGAGAGCGCGAGAGAGTCGGGAGAGAGAGGGAGAGCCACGGGGAGAGATGGGCGCGAGTCTAAGGAAGAGGCGGTGTAGCTGACCACGACACAGACACCACACCGCACCTCTCTCTACACACGAAGGCAAAGGCCCGCCGTATACAGTGAGGGAAAAAAAAAGTATTTGATCCCCTGCTGATTTTGTACGTTTGCCCACTGACAAAGAAATGATCAGTCTATAATTTTAAATTTGTAATGGTAGGTTTATTTGAACAGTGAGAGACAGAATAACAACAAAAAATTTCAGAAAAACGCATGTCAAAAATGTTATAAATTGATTTGCAATTTAATGAGGGAAATAAGTATTTGACCCCTCTGCAAAACATGACTTAGTACTTGGTGGCAAAACCCTTGTTGGCAATCACAGAGGTCAGACGTTTCTTGTAGTTGGCCACCAGGTTTGCACACATCTCAGGAGGGATTTTGTCCCACTCCTCTTTGCAGATCTTCTTCAAGTCATTAAGGTTTCGAGGCTGACGTTTGGCAACTCGAACCTTCAGCTCCCTCCACAGATTTTCTATGAGATTAAGGTCTGGAGACTGGCTAGGCCACTCCAGGACCTTAATGTGCTTCTTCTTGAGCCACTCCTTTGTTGCCTTGGCCGTGTGTTTTGGGTCATTGTCATGCTGGAATACCCACCCACGACCCATTTGCAATGCCCTGGCTGAGGGAAGGAGGTTCTCACCCAAGATTTGACGGTACATGGCCCCGTTCATCGTCCCTTTGATGCGGTGAAGTTGTCCTGTCCCCTTAGCAGAAAAACACCCCCAAAGCATAATGTTTCCACCTCCATGTTTGACGGTGGGGATGGTGTTCTTGGGGTCATAGGCAGCATTCCTCCTCCTCCAAACACGGTGAGTTGAGTTGATGCCAAAGAGCTCCATTCTGGTCTCATCTGACCACAACACTTTCACCCAGTTGTCCTCTGAATCATTCAGATGTTCATTGGCAAACTTTGGACGGGCATGTATATGCGCTTTCTTGAGCTGGGGGACCTTGTGGGCGCTGCAGGATTTCAGTCCTTCACGGCGTGGTGTGTTACCAATTGTTTTCTTGGTGACTATGGTCCCAGCTGCCTTGAGATCATTGATAAGATCCTCCCGTGTAGTTCTGGGCTGATTCCTCACCGTTCTCATGATCATTGCAACTCCACGAGGTGAGATCTTGCATGGAGCCCCAGGCCGAGGGAGATTGACAGTTCTTTTGTGTTTCTTCCATTTGCGAATAATCGCACCAACTGTTGTCACCTTCTCACCAAGCTGCTTGGCAATGGTCTTGTAGCCCATTCCAGCCTTGTGTAGGTCTACAATCTTGTCCCTGACATCCTTGGAGAGCTCTTTGGTCTTGGCCATGGTGGAGAGTTTGGAATGTGATTGATTGATTGCTTCTGTGGACAGGTGTCTTTTATACAGGTAACAAGCTGAGATTAGGAGCACTCCCTTTAAGAGTGTGCTCCTAATCTCAGCTTGTTACCTGTATAAAAGACACCTGGGAGCCAGAAATCTTTCTGATTGAGAGGGGGTCAAATACTTATTTCCCTCATTAAAATGCAAATCAATTAATAACATTTTTGACATGCGTTTTTCTGGATTTTGTTGTTGTTATTCTGTCTCTCACTGTTCAAATAAACCTACCATTAAAATGATAGACTGATCATTTCTTTGTCAGTGGGCAAACATACAAAATCAGCAGGGGATCAAATATTTTTTTCCCTCACTGTAGCTTTGAACAGACTCTTGGGGCAAGTGCTGTTAGCGAGCACCTATGAAGGCCGGCACGGCATACGAGGGGGTGTGCGGCCAGCACCACGCCCGGCCGCCTTTGTCTCCCCCAGTGGCGATGTTTACACACCGCACCAGGTACTAATTTGAGGCTGAGTCGACCTAGGGTAGGCCCAGAACCGGTTCAAATAATCAGCACTGGTGTGGGCCGTGAGCGGGAATGGAACGCAGGTCACCGGGTTCACAGCACATCGCGTTAACCACTGCGCCACTACTCCCCACTACACACACACCTGCACACAGGAATAACAACAACAGCTGCCATTTTCCACGAAGTGACGACGGTGACAATGCCGTAGCCCTGGTGCCAGGCTAGGTGCGCGCGTGTGTGCGGGCACCTGGAAGGGCCCGGGCGGGGTGATGGTGACGTTGGCGCGGTGCCACGTGTCGCCCTGGTTGCCCCCGCGCGTCCACACCTGCGTGTCGAGCGCGCCGGGCGAGCGCACGTAGATGTTCAGGGAGCCTGGGGACATCACCGTCACTCACCGTCACCGTCACTCACCGTCACTCACCGTCACCGTCACTCACCGTTACTCACCGTCACCGTCACTCACCGTCACCGTCACTCACCGTTACTCACCGTCACTCACCGTTACTCACCGTCACCGTTACTCACCGTCACCGTCACTCACCGTCACCGTTACTCACCGTCACTCACCGTCACCGTCACTCACCGTCACCGTCACTCACCGTCACCGTTACTCACCGTTACTCACCGTCACCGTCACTCACCGTTACTCACCGTCACTCACCGTTACTCACCGTCACCGTTACTCACCGTCACCGTCACTCACCGTCACCGTTACTCACCGTCACTCACCGTCACCGTCACTCACCGTCACCGTCACTCACCGTCACCGTTACTCACCGTTACTCACCGTCACCGTCACTCACCGTCACCGTCACTCACCGTCACCGTCACTCACCGTCACCGTCACTCACCGTCACTCACCGTCACTCACCGTCACCGTCACTCACCGTCACCGTTACTCACCGTCACCGTTACTCACCGTCACTCACCGTCACCGTCACTCACCGTCACCGTCACTCACCGTCACCGTTACTCACCGTCACTCACCGTCACCGTCACTCACCGTCACCGTCACTCACCGTCACTCACCGTCACCGTCACTCACCGTCACCGTCACTCACCGTCACCGTCACTCACCGTCACCGTCACTCACCGTCACTCACCGTCACCGTTACTCACCGTCACTCACCGTCACCGTTACTCACCGTTACTCACCGTTACTCACCGTCACCGTTATTCATCGTCACCGTTACTCACCGTCACTCACCGTCACCGTTACTCACCGTTACTCACCGTCACCGTTACTCACCGTCACTCACCGTCACCGTTACTCACCGTCACCGCTCAACGCCACCGCTCACCGCTCACCGCCACCGCTCACTGCTCACCACCACCGCTCACCGTCACCGCTCACCGTTACCATTCACCGCCACCGATCACCACTCACCGTTCACCACCACCACTCACCGTCACCGCTCACCGCCCACCGCTCACCATCACCCCTCACCGCCACCCCTCACCGTCACCACTCACCATGTCTATTATCCATCACCATGAGCCCTCACCATCGTACAAGAGCATCGCTCGCACAACGCAACACGTTCTACCCTGAAAATGAGTCGATAAAACCCAGCAAGGAGCCTGTTTGTTGCCAGCCACTTGGCGTTTCGGTCCTTTGCTCAGCAACTGTGATGATAATAATAGAACGCAACACCCACCCGTGATAGATTTTTCATAATTGAATCTTAAACCGTGACCTGGATGACGGACTTGGACCCGATCCAGCGTCCGCGCTTAATTCTCGCCGCGGCAGGCGAATCGGCTCTCTCGCCCCTGTGCCACCAATCCCACAAAAAGCCATCTGCCTCGTTAATACCTCGTCCTGCTCATGCATCACCACTACCAGCATCGTGAATACCACGGCCCACGCCACCACCACCAACCACCACGCTACCTACACCACCACCAAACCAACCGCTACCACACGACCACCACCACCCCACCACGCTACCCACTACCACACCACCACACTACCTACACCACCACCATTCTACCGACTACCACCCCACCGCCCTACCCACTACCACACCACCACCAGACCACACTACTAAATACTATACCACCACCACAACACTACCCATTATCACACCACCACCCCACCACGCTACCCATCAATACCTTGCTACCCACGACTATGATACCCACGCCACCATGGTATGCACACCATCACCACCACCATGCTACTACCCACTACCACACCACCACCATGCTACTACCTACTATCACAGCCACCACGCCACCCACCTCCACCCTCTCTTGCTCGCTCACAGTGTGGATTATGAAACTGTGCTGGGGGAGGTTGGTGTTTGGGGTGGCTCAGAGATTCAAACCTCTCCCTCTTGCACCATCTCTCACATGCTCGCCGCTTTCCACTCTCACGCAGCCCGTCATGATCTCACAAACTCAATCTCACACTCACAAAGATCCTTCCCCCCTCCGCCCCGTACAGCCTTCACGGACTGTTGGGGCAAGCGCTGTTGGCGAGCAGCACCTGTGAAGGCCGGCTCGGCACACGAGGGGGTGGGTGGCCAGCACCACGCCGGGCCGCCTTTGTCTCCCTCGTGGTGAGGTTCACACATTGCACCAGGTACCCGTTTTATGGCTGAGTCGAGCCAGGGAAGGTCCGGAACCGGTTCAGATGATTATTAATCATCACTGGTGTTGGCCGTGAGCGGGAATCAAAGTCGGGTCGCCAGAGTCGTAGTGCAGCGCGCTAACCGCTACACTGCTGCTTCCCACCTCCAAAGATAAAGTTCCCCCGTATAGCCTTAACAGATTTTGGGGCAGGTTCCGCACACTCTCTCACACTTTCACTGTCAGGTTCGATCATGCACACACCGTCTCTCTCACGCTCACCCTCAACGTGACCCCCTCACCCTGAAAACCACCCCTCCCCCCTTTTATCACACCTAAGACCTGACCCTGAACCCACCACAGGGCCCCGAGAAACCCCGACTGGACCCGGTTGGACCTCAGTTGTATCCAATGGGACCTCGATGGGACGCCTGGGCTCATATCTTTGCGCTTACCCTGACTCCCCCCTCAGTAGATTCCCAGTTAAACCCAGGTTGGACCTCGGTTGGACACCTGACGGGACCCCGTTGGGACATTGGACTCCGGTAAGACCCCTGGTGGAACCCCAGCGGAATGCCCAGTTGGACCCCAGTGGAACCCCAAGTGAGAACCCCTGTGCGACCCCCGTGGAACACCCAGAGGGACCTCGGTGGGACCCCCGTGGGACACCCAGAGGGACCCCGGTGGGACCCCCGGTGGGACCCCGGTGGGACAAGAGGCTCGTACCTATGTGTTTGCCGTACATGTGGTAGTAGAAGTAGAGGCAGAAGGCGCTGAGCCCGCTGGAGGTGCGTGGCGGCGTCACGTGGTACACGGGGCTGAGCAGCCGCGCGCGGTCGCCGAGGTTACGCGGCCTGGACGTCTCGATGAACATGAAGAAGCCTGCGGGGGCCATGGCAACCGCAGCAGCAGCAGCAGCAGCAGCAGATTCGAGAGGAACATGAACGTCGACAGCAACCGTGACGACATCGGTGGCAATGTCCACGTGAGCAGAAGCATCGCCAACACCATCAGCATCATCACGTGAAGTCGTGTGCGGCGTGGAGGTGGGACTTCAATACCTTCAGCTGTATGAGTGTGTGTGTGTGAGACCCCACAACCCCTGTTGGGTAGTGACCCCTGTGAGTAGTGACCCCTGTGATTAGTGACCCCTGTGAGTAGTGACCCCTATGAGTAGTGACCTCTGTTGGGAGTGACCCCTGTGAGTAGTGACCTCTGTTGGGAGTGACCCCTGTGGGGAGTGACCCCTGTGAGTAGTGACCCCTGTGAGTAGTGACCCCTGTGAGTAGTGACCCCTGTGGGGAGTAACCCCTGGGCAGGTGTTTCACTCCCCGTGACCCCTGTGTGTAACCCCTTGTGAGTGACCCCTGCGCGGGGAGTTTCACCCCGCGACCCCCGCCGACCCGTCTTGGAGCCGGCCCGGTCGGCCACGGGGCCCGTGTTGGGCGTGAACTTGGGGCTCCGCGTCGCCGCGCTCTGCCGCGTCCAGTTGAAGTTGCCGTTGGGGTCGAGCGAGAACCCGCACAGAGAGTCGTCCTCGAAGCCACACGACGCGTCACCTGCAGCGGGGACGCGACACGCGCAGCGGTGACACGATGGTGACACGATGGTGACGCGGTGGTGACGCGACACGCGTAGCGGTGACACGATGGTGACGCGGTGGTGACGCGATACACACGACGGTGACACGACGGTGACGCGATGGTGACGCGACACGCACAGCGGTGACACGATGGTGACGCGGTGGTGACGCGATACACACGACGGTGACGCGATGGTGACGCGGTGGTGACGCGATACACACAGCGGTGACACGATGGTGACGGGGTGGTGACGCGATACACACAGCGGTGACGCAACGCAGTGTCGTGGAGTACGTGATGTGGTGCGCGCGGTGTGTGTGGCACGCTCTAGATTGGGTGGTGGGGGCGGTGTGGTTGTACACGATGCAGTGTACGTGATGGGGGTTACGTGGTGTGGTCTGTGTGATGCGCGTGGCGTGGTACACACCTGTCTGTGGACTCAGCGTTGGAGCTGAAACAAAGAAAGAATCATCACCACGATTATCAACCACGGCCATCACCGCTAACATCACCTTTTGCATGTGTACGCAGATGCATGTGAGGAGTAGTGGCGCAGTGGCGAAGTGGTGAGTGCGCGGCGCACAGAGTCCGGCGAACCGAGTTCGACTGCCGCTCACAGCTAACATCAGTGCGACAAATATCCGAACCGGTTCTGGGCCTCCCCTGGGTCGACTCAGCCTTAAAACGAGGATCTGGTGCGAGGTGTAAATATCAGCACTGGGGAGATGAAGGTGGCCGGGCGTGGCGCTGACCACGCCACGCCGTCACGTGCCGTGCCGGTCTTCTTCATAGGTGCTGGCTAACGGCACTTGCCCCGAACGTTTGCCAAGGCTACACGGGGGATCTTTGTCTTCACGTGTGCACGCGAGCGCGCACGTGCGCGAGCGCGCGAGTGCGCACCTACCCTCGTAGTATCGCAGGATGCGGCTGGCGGAGTCTCCGTCTCCGAACGCGGTGACCGGGGTGAGCCGCACCTCGTAGGCGCGGGGTTTGGTGAGATCGCTGAGGGTGTGGGACATCAGGTCCCCGCGCCTCAACACGCTCCTCACCGTCACCTCCACCCGGTCCCACCGCCCCTGCCCCACCTGCCCGGGATGCATGCGGGGGATGTCGCAGAAACCACCGCTGAGATCCGTTCGTGGGTGCATCTGAAGCCGCTGTCCCCCAGTGCTGAAGCCGCTGTCTCTGCTACTGGGCCCGACTGAATCACTTAAATCTTCACGTGTACACGTACCAGCCATTCGTCACTACGTTACCGGATGAGGGCTGCTCCACACCGTGTGGGGATATTTTACCCAACTTCACGCTGAGCACGGGTCGGTCGAAGGCGGAAACATAAAACACGGGAGCGTAGAAGTACAGCACAACAATGCGTTTAGCTGCACCGCCCTCTGCTGCCCACCAAGTAGCCCTGCACGTGACCACACCAGGGGGTGCTGCACTTCCCAAGCGCATTTCTACAGAGAAATGGCCATCAAATGGAAATGTGTTTTTTTATTATTATTATCAGAGCTGGAATTCAGCCAAACGGAATGGACACCCAAATTAATTTCAAATGGATTTTTCTGCCTCGCTCCCCCGATTGTTATCGCGATTGCACTGCTGTCGGCGTCACGAGACGCAGGATCCGTTCGGAGATCTCGCAGAGCGGCACGACCCTCCTCGGCGTTGCCAGAGGACGACCAGCGCGGAAGTGGACACTGCCGAGCTACCTCCGAGGCCCCTTATCTACTCGAGGCGCTGTGTGATTGCCGTAGCCGTGGTTGGTGTCGTGGTGGTTGCTGCCGTTATTGTTGTGGTGGTTGCGGTGCGTCGTGGTTGTGGTGGTCGTCACGATTGTCTCGATTGTGGCTGCTGTGGTGGTGGTGGTTATTGCGGTGCATGGTGGTGGTCGTCCTGATTGTCTCGGTCGTGGTGGTGGTGGTGGTTGCTGCTGCTGCGGTGCGTCACGGCTGTTGTGGTGGTCACGCTTGTTGCGGTCGTAGTGGTGGTTGTTGTGGTGGTCGTCCTGATTGTCTCGGTCGTGGTGGTGGTTGCTGCTGCAGCGGTGCGTCACGGCTGTTGTGGTGGTCACGCTTGTTGCGGTCGTGGTGGTGGTTGTTGCGGTGGTTGTCCTGATTGTCTCGGTCGTGGTGGTGGTGGTGGTGGTTGCTGCTGCTGCGGTGCGTCACGGCTGTTGTGGTGGTCAAGCTTGTTGCGGTCGTGGTGGTGGTTGTTGTGGTGGTCGTCCTGATTGTCTCGGTCGTGGTGGTGGTGGTGGTGGTTGCTGCTGCTGCGGGGCGTCACGGCTGTTGTGGTGGTCACGCTTGTTGCGGTCGTGGTGGTGGTTGTTGTGGTGGTCGTCCTGATTGTCTCGGTCGTGGTGGTGGTGGTGGTGGTTGCTGCTGCTGCGGGGCGTCACGGCTGTTGTGGTGGTCACGCTTGTTGCGGTCGTGGTGGTGGTTGTTGTGGTGGTCGTCCTGATTGTCTCGGTCGTGGTGGTGGTGGTTGCTGCTGCTGCAGCGGTGCGTCACTGCTGTTGTGGTGGTCACGCTTGTTGCGGTCGTAGTGGTGGTTGTTGTGGTGGTCGTCCTGATTGTCTCGGTCGTGGTGGTGGTGGTGGTTGCTGCTGCAGCGGTGCGTCACGGCTGTTGTGGTGGTCACGCTTGTTGCGGTCGTAGTGGTGGTTGTTGTGGTGGTCGTCCTGATTGTCTCGGTCGTGGTGGTGGTGGTGGTTGCTGCTGCAGCGGTGCGTCACGGCTGTTGTCGTGGTCACGCTTGTTGCGGTCGTGGTGGTGGTTGTTGCCCTGGCGGCTGTCGTGGCTGTTGCGCGCTGCGCCCCTGACCTGGCGGTACTCGAGCTTGTAGGAGGTGACCTGGTCCACGGCGTCGGGGTTCATCTGCGTCCACTGCAGCTCGTAGGAGTAGGTGTCGCCGCGCGTCGAGCGCACGGGGCTCGCCGTGTCGAAGAAGAACTCGGGCGGGTACGCGCGGCCTGCGGCACCGCACGGGGGGGGACAAAGTGCGCACTCCACGCGGGAAGGCGACCGACTCGGGAGTCGAACCCCGGGCAACCTTCTTGATGCGAGGCCACACGAGCGTCACCACCGCGGTACGCGTGCCGCCACCGTGCCCGCGCAGTGCGTACCGGTGAGCGTGAAGAGGCAGCTGGCGGCGCCGGCCTCGTTGAGCACCGTGAAGTTGTAGGTGCCGTACGAGGAGCGCGACAGTCGCTCGATGTCCCAGGGCTCCCCCGGCGTCTCGAGGCGCCCGGACGTGAGCACGCGGTCGCCCAGCAGCCACTCGTGCAGCAGCGGCCGTGCGGGGCTCGCGCGCAGCACGGAGCAGCGCAGCGACACCGAGCGGCCCAGCGCCTGCCGCACCTCGCTGTGCGGCGGGTCCACCTGCGGGGGGTCTGCGGTGGCGGCGTCGTGGGTAGGGGGGGTTGGGGGGTGTTGAAGGTGATAGGGGAAGAGGGTGATTCGTTATCATCATCTTCAGCAGCGTTCACACCATCGCTGTGGCCATTGGCGTGATGCTGTTCGCGCCCCCCAAAGACGGTTGCGGGAAGCCTCGTTTTCTGGAGTTTGGAATGTTGTCGGTGGTAAAAAGAGGGCCCACCGCTTTCTCTCGGCCAGCGGGAATATCTCCTCCATCGGCCAGGGGTTCTGGCAGCGGTTTGGTAGCGTGGTTTGGTACGGGTGCTGGTGCAAAGAAAGGATTGGTATCTGTCCAATGTCCCCTCCTCTTCGTAGCCCATAGGCCCCGATGCAGTTGCACCACCTGCACACTCGATAGCTACGCCACTGGTTTGTGGGTACACAACTGGGTACAGAATGCAGCCATAGTAGCGCTGCATGAGCCACTGTTCTGAACCTCGCCCATTTCCCCTCGGCATCAGGAGCAGGTGGGGACCATGCCAACCCCAGCTGCAAGTGACGATGACATTCTCGATTGCAATTTTAATCAGCTACCCGAGTCCAGGCTAGTGTTTGGATTGGGTCCTAGGTGGATGTCCACCAGCGTAGTGGAACAATGGTTGGGTCATTGCACGGATGACAAGCCGATGGTTCGTCGACAGAGCAGTTCCACGGCAGGCCCCGGTGTCAAGGCTGCCATTTGATCTGATCTGCCACGACGTAGTGGCTTTGACCCGGCGTGCACCCATTGTGTGTGGATGTGCAGATTCCGGAACAGCGTGCAGGTGATTACACAAGCCCATGGGCCGCGCAGAGGTCTGCAGTTGAGCTCGTCACGCCCATTCCAAACACTTCCACCCACGTGTTAGGGCCATGACCCGCTTGAGCGTTAGAGTTACCGATCAAGACGGCTCCTTCCCACGGGACCACTTTAGCCAACACACCTGAGGGTGGAGTTCACAGGGAGCTTTCAACTCACCGGCCCTTGCCTGCACACGCTCACACCGATCCGCTCGCACGCAGAGGTCAACCGGTGAACGAAGGTCAAGTGGTGACTCACACGCACAACCCGTGCACGCCTACGTAGGCCGTGCTGTTAGCGAGCACCTACGAGGGGCGGCGTGGCATGAGAGGCGGTGGTGTGGCCAGGACCTCGCCGTCATTAAAGCCGGCCCCCACCTTGGCGAGGTGCTGGACCGGTTCCAATGATCGTCGCCGATGTTGGCCGCGTAGCGGGAATCGAACTCGGCCCGCCGTGCTCGTGGCGCTAGACGCGCTCACCGCTACGCGGGCGTTCCCCCAACACTCCCCCACGGACTCGCTCGCTCGCTCGCCCCCCACCCCACCCTAACCACCAGGACCCAGACGCACAGTGCACGTTGAGCGTGATGGAGGCCTCCCGGGGCGCCACGTTAAAGCCGTTGTAGCGGTCCGTCTGGCAGCGGTAGACGCCCGCCATGTCGCGCGTCACGTTGGCGAAGCGCAGGCTGCCGTCGTAGCTCACGGAGCGCATGGAGCCGTCGGGCATCGGCGCCTCGCGGTCGGCGCGCGACCACAGCAGCACGGGCTTGGGTTTGCCGGACACGGCGCACTGCAGCTCGGCCGGGCGGCCCTCCTGCGCGGTCACCGCCGAGCGGCCCTTGGGCACCGACACCGAGGGGGGCACTGCGGTGTGGAGGGGGTTTGGGTTGGGGAGGGGGGTCACACGAGAATGGGGGGGGGGGGGGGGGGGGGTGCCACGTTAAATCGAATTCCTCGCGCGTCCAACGCTTTTAGAACCCCTGCTCGAGACTGCTCGGCGAGACATCCTGGGACTGAGCGGTCTGCTGCTGCTGCTGACCCGCGAGCGAACGAGACGGACGAATCAAAGGGGTCACTCTTAGATTTGAAGCTTTCGTGACTGCAGCAAACCCATACTCTTTTGGTCACGTAGGTATGAAATAAAATCGATCACGACGTTTCGGGCGCAACACCAAGCTTCCGTCATCAGGTGACGGACGCTTGTGTTGCGCCTGCGGCTCCGGATCCACGTGCAGCTCTTCACGGACCGCTTCGTGACATAAAGACAACGACAAAGATCCCGCCGTGTAGCCTGCGCGGACTGTTGGGGCAAGTGCTGTTAGCTAGTACCACCTATGAAGGCCGGCACGGCACACGAGGGGGTGGGTGGCCAGCAACCACGCCCGGCCGCCTTTGTCTCCCCAGTGGTTATGTTTACACACCGCACCAGGTACTTATTTGCGGCTGAGTCGACCTAGGGGATCCCCCATGACCGGTTCAGATAATCGTCACTGGTGTTGGCCGTGAGCGGGAATCGAACTCGGGTCGCCGGGTTCGTAGCGCAGCGCACTAACCGCTACACTACCGACAAACTATATGTAGTCACATGCATTAACTTTTGTACCGAATTCGAAAATAGATTTTTTTCTTGTTATTTTGGTTTCCGACCCCTGGTAGTGCTGAACATCGCCATGATACCTCAACCGTCTATCCCGATGGTTCTTCACCTGGGGGTGCACGCTGTAACCCCTGGGGGTGCGAGATGCCCTTTCTGGGGGTGCGAGACATGGGCAGATTTTTTTTTAGACGGTAAATCATCGAAACACAAATTAAACACGGGCACGTAAGTAACAACTTTGTTTAATCAAACCCTACGTATTTACTAACATTGTACATTTGTTTAACGGTTGAGAATCAAAAGGCCGCAAGGCTGCAGTCAAGGGTTTAAGAACCACGGATCTAACACAACGACTGACTCATGAGGAGCCTTTCTCGTGTTCTCGGGGCCAGTGCCGGATGAAGCGAGTGCGGGGCCTGGAGAATATTGTTGTTATAAAGGGGCCCTAAAAAGAAACACGTAAACAATAAAAACACAATTTTTTTACTTGCACAGTAAAGTAATTGTATTTTTTTCATTTGTTACACAGCCAGATAATGACAAATCGCTAACCTTAAATACCCGGTCGTTCATAAAATGTTTAACTTGCACAGTAAAGTAATTGTATTTTTTCATTTGTTACACAGCCAGATAATACGACAAATCCCTAACCTTAAACACCCGGTCGTTCATAAAAGTTGAAGGCGGTATAGTACTATAGTAATAGAGCTAGTGCAGAACCACTGAACCCGAATTGATAGCTTGAAAGCATCTAGCGTGGGGCCCTTGAAAGTGCGGGGCCCCGTAGATACTACACGTGTGGTAGCTACCACGCGTGTAGTAGCTACCACACGTGTAGCTGACACACGTGTAGTAGCTACCACACGTGTAGTAGCTACCACGCGTGTAGTAGCTACCACGCGTGTAGTAGCTACCACACGTGTAGCTGACACACGTGTAGTAGCTACCACCACACGTGTGGTAGCTACTACACGTGTGGTAGTAGCTACGACACGTGTGGTAGTGTGGTAGCTACCACACGTGTTGCAGCTACCACACGTGTAGCAGCTGCCACACGTGTAGCAGCTACCACACGTGTTGTAGCTGCCACACGTGTTGCAGCTACCACACGTGTTGCAGCTACCACGCGTGTTGCAGCTACCACGCGTGTTGCAGCTACCACGCGTGTTGCAGCTACTACACGTGTTGCTGCCACACGTGTAGCTACCACCACACGTGTGGTAGCTACTACACGTGTGGTAGTAGCTACTACACGTGTGGTAGTAGCTACTACCACACGTGTAGCAGCTACCACACGTGTTGCAGCTGCCACACGTGTTGCAGCTGCCACACGTGTTGCAGCTACCACACGTGTTGCAGCTGCCACACGTGTTGCAGCTACCACACGTGTTGCAGCTGCTACACGTTTTGCGGCTACTACACGTGTGTTGCTGACACACGTGTAGTAGCTACCACTACACGTGTGGTAGCTACTACACGTGTGGTAGTAGCTACGACACGTGTGGTAGTGTTGCAGCTACCACACGTGTAGCAGCTACCACGCGTGTTGCAGCTACCACACGTGTTGCAGCTACCACACGTGTTGCAGCTACCACACGTGTTGCAGCTACCACACGTGTAGCAGCTACTACGCGTGTTGCAGCTACCACACGTGTTGCAGCTACCACACGTGTTGCAGCTACAACACGTGTTGCAGCTACCACACGTGTAGCAGCTACTACACGTGTTGTAGCTCCTACACGTGTAGCTACTTTTGCCTCGAGGATAATCCGGCACTGTTCGGGGCACCCTTTGCCGTTCACCGTCGACCACACGAATACCGCTCCCGTCTCTCGCGAAGCGTGGCCCACGGCGATGGTTAAAGAGTCTCATAGGAACACGAGAAAGGTGCCCGCCCCGACTCCTCTTCCCCCCTTTCCCTCGCTTGCCCCCCCCCCCCCTTATAAGAGAGTCCGTGCTCTCGCTCGCTGTCCCTACGCGAGTGCGATGGTGGCGATCACATTTCTCTCACTCGTTCCCCCGACCTCGCGTGAGCACTCCGTGCACGGGAATTTCTGTGACCCCTTTCCGCCGTTTTGTTGTTGTTATCGCTCGCGTTCTGGACAGCTGGGCACTTCGTCAGAATAAGAAACAACACGATAAAATAACACGGCAAAGATCTTGACTCAAAGCTTTCGTGACTGCAACAATTCATATTCTTTGAGTCTTTCGGTAAAGTCACGTAGAACATTTTTTTTTTTACAAAAAACTACGACGTTTCAATCGCAACACAAGCAATCGTCATCTGATGACGATTGCTACGTGACTTTACCGAAAGACCCAAAGAACACGACAAAGGTTACGCACAATAGGTGGGTGGAGGCGGGGGGAGGGAGGGGAAATTCACGAATCGATTCTTTGTGCCGTTTTCTTCCAAGGATTCCTGGCGAATCTCACGTCATTCACAGTCGTGTGCCGGAGTCAACGGTGCAACTTCTCCAAATTCGCAAAACATTACTCCGTACATGACTCGGTTGGGATGATGCACACGGCAGCATTAATCGCCCCTCTTACTGGCAGCAGAAGCAGCTGCCCGCTTGCAGCAGGCCACGTCCTTGTGATCACACAGGGACAGCTGCCACTGGGGGGTACCCTTTGATTGTTTGAGATGACATGTGACCCAAGGAAGATTCGAGTTGCTGAGGAAATTAAGTAAGCACGCTCCATATACATATAAACATGCATTTTCATTAATATTGTTTTTAAATGGTTTAAGTGCAAAGTAGCTGGATGTAAGTAGACAGAACTGGGTCAGAGTGATGTCCTGCTCAAATGAGCATTGAGGTAGTGCTGGTCTCTTGTTTACAGCTTTGAGCCAGGTAGTGTAAATTCCACATTCCTACGGCAGGGGTGAGCCTATCCCTTCCCCATAACCGTTACTGACTTCCTCACAAAGTGGTACTCATCTATCGACCCCGGAAGGATGATGGGCCTGAGTCAACAAACCAACCAACCAGGATTTGAACTCAAAAACATTCAGCTTTTGCGAGCCGCTCGCTCCGCCGCTGGACCACGTGGGCCGGGGTAGGCCCCGTGAGGTCACGAGTCTATCAGCCAAGACTCGGACCGAGCAACCTCGCACAGGGTTCCCAAACACAACCCCCTAGGGGACTCACTGCAGCATCCGCACCGCGTCCTCGTCCCAGGAGATCGCGAGGTTTGTCGCCACTGTCCGTGACAGAGTTCTTCACTGGTTTTCAGAGCGGGGGAGGGGGTCGCTTTCGCGCTGATAAGACATCATCAGTGTGCGAGCCGCCACACATTTGAAACCATTGGGATTTTCACGTGACGTGTGTGCACGAGTGCTGTCTATTTGTTTGTGTTTCTCCCCCTTGTGACGGGACTTTGTTAGGATGAACGTTGAGATTGATAAGGGCACTGGGTGACCAATAAGGTCTGAATCGGCTACTGGGTGACCAATAAGGTCTGAATCGGTCTGTAATAAGGTAGGGCACTGATAAGGGATTGACAGGTGTGTAGTGGCGAGTGTACTAGTGGTGAGTGTTGTTGTGGTGAGTGTACTAGTGCTGTCTATTTGTGTTTCTCCCCCTTGTGATGGGACTTTGTTAGGATGAACGTTGAGATTTATAAGGGGCACGGGGTGACCAATAAGGTCTGAATCGGTCTGTAATAAGGTAGGGCACTGATAAGGGGTTGACATGTATGCATGCGCACGTCAGGGGCCCCACTAAAGGCCACCAGGGACAGCCAGGGTCCCGCGGGCCTCGCACTGAAGAACACCGCTCTGGGACAAAGTGGCATCGCTGCTCGCTACACGAGACGGTTCACCGCGCGCGAGGCTCCGTCACCACGCGGGTGGACATCACTCGTTGGGGTTGACCGCAGCGGCTCGTCCACCACACGAGGTGGTGGTGGTGGTGGCGGCGATCGACCACACCGCGGCACAAATCCTGCCGCGTCGCTCGATCTCCGAAGCCCCAACGACCGAGGAGGGGCCGATCGTTACCGCAGCCAATTAAGAAACGCGGACACTCGATACCCCGCGCAATTAAGCCAAGCCGGCTAATTACTAAGACGCCGTGGCTTCGAGGCTTGGCCACTGCGAAGCACCGCCTGCGAATGCCGCAACGCTCCGCAGACTTCTTCCTCCTCCTCCTCCTGCTGCTGCTGCTCCTCCTGCTGCTGCTGCTCCTGCTGCTAGCTGCTGCTGCTAGCTGCTGCTGCTCCTCTCGGCGCGAACTCTCCTGAGGTCGCTCCGAGAGGAGGAGCAGCGAAATGGAAGACGGCCCGTGGCTTCGTGCCCGCGTTGTCGCCGTGCCGCGCGTCTCGGCTCGCCGTCTCCTTGCGTTCGGTCGGGGGGTGGAGGGGGATGTGGGGGGTGGGGGTGGATGTGGGGGGTGGTGGATGTGTGGAAGGGGTTGAGGGGGTGGGGGGGTGGAGGGGGATGTGGGGGGTGGTGGATGTGGGGGGGTGGTGGATGTGTGGAAGGGGTTGAGGGGGTGGGGGGTGGAGTGGGGGGGGGGGCGGCGCCTCCCGCCCCCGTGCCCCCGCGCCCCGCGTCCGCCGAGTACGCGATGTGACCGCCGGTCCCAACGCAATCCCGACACCTCCGTGTGCGCGATGAGACACTCATCAGACAGAAAGGGCCGGAAACAGAGAATAAATAAAAATAAAAGTTTACGACAACGAAGAAAGTGCCTATTTATTGTTGCTGTTATCACGCCGCACGCGCTTCGGAAAATCTCGCATTCCCACGACTTGGTTTGTCCCCGGAGGGTCTTGCCGAGATGTTGCGGCACGGGAGAGTGCGATGATGCTGCTGCTACTGCTGCTGCTACTGCTGCTGCTACTGCTGCTGCTACTGCTGCTGCTACTGCTGCTGCTACTGCTGCTGCTACTGCTGCTACTGCTGCTGCTACTGCTGCTGCTGCTACTGCTACTGCTGCTACTGCTGCTGCTACTGCTGCTACTGCTACTGCTGCTACTGCTGCTGCTGCTACTGCTGCTGCTACTGCTGCTGCTACTGCTGCTGCTGCTACTGCTGATGCTGCTACTGCTGCTGCTACTGCTGATGCTGCTACTGCTACTGCTGCTACTGCTGCTGCTGCTACTGCTGCTGCTACTACTGCTGCTGCTGCTACTGCTGCTGCTACTGCTGCTGCTGCTACTGCTGCTACTGCTGCTACTGCTGCTGCTACTGCTGCTGCTACTGCTGCTGCTGCTACTGCTGCTACTGCTGCTGCTACTGCTGCTGCTGCTACTGCTGCTGCTGCTACTGCTGCTGCTGCTACTGCTGCTGCTGCTACTGCTGCTGCTGCTACTGCTGCTACTGCTGCTGCTACTGCTGCTGCTACTGCTGCTGCTGCTACTGCTGCTACTGCTGCTGCTGTTGCTACTGCTGCTGCTACTGCTGCTGCTACTGCTGCTGCTGCTACTACTGCTGCTGCTGCTACTGCTGCTGCTACTGCTGCTACTGCTGCTGCTACTGCTGCTACTGCTGCTGCTACTGCTGCTGCTGTGCACGTGGTCCCAATGAAGCAGCACCATGATGATGATGATGGGGAGGGCGGTGTTTTCGCTCTTTGTATTTGTTCGGGGGGGGGCGCACTGAAGGCCCACCAGGGGTCGCCAGTGGCCCGCGGGCCTTGCAATAAAGAACACCGGACTGGACGATCCCCAACAATGTAGGGGGGAGGGGATGGGGGGAGGGGATGGGGGAGGGGGCGCAACCCAAGACGCCCGCAGCCACCCAGCACCCTGCCGACCTCGTCTCAGACAAACTGTAGAGCTGGTGCCAATGTAGGCGCGGCAGGGTGGTGATGGTGGTGGTTTCAGGAAAGGGCGGTCCTGCACAGATGCCATATTTTCTGTCCGTCTGCTACAGCAGAGGTGTAGGGAATTCCAACAAGACCTACATCTCTGCTTTATTGACCTGGTCAAGGCCTATGATACCATCAGTAGGCCTGGGCTCTGGGTCGTTCTTCGTGCTTTTGGAGTACCTGACCCTCTGCTCACGATCATTAAGGACCTTCATGATGGTGAGCGGGCCCGGGTAAAACTACGTGGCCGGGAGTCAGAGCCATTCCCTGTACACCTTGGGGTGCGACAGGGATGTCCTCTGGCTCCCACATTATTTAACATCTATTTTGACCACGTAGTTCGTGAAGCCTTCAATAGCTGTACCGGGGGAATCTCCATATGGTACAGATATAATGGGAGGCTGATCGATGCCCGGGTGCGGTCAAGGGATGGCTCCCTATTGCTCAACCACGTTATGTATGCTGATGATTTGGTAATAGCTGCTCAGTCAGAGGAGGAGTTGGAGACGCTGCTGCTGAGACTGGAGCGTGCCACTAAGAGGTGGGGCCTTACCATCAGCCCCACCAAAACTAAGCACCTGCCTGGGTATTTTGTACCATCGGACACTCCACCCCCACAACTCCCGATCGGTGATGGGGCAGTTGTGGAGAGAGTGGAGAGTTTCCCATACCTGGGCAGTGTGCTTATGACTGGCTCCAGTTTAACAGCAGAGGTCTCACTCCGAATCAGTCGAGCGGCAATATATTTTCATCGGTTGCGTAACGCTGTGTGGAAGCTACCTGGTCTGTCGCTCCGCACTAAGCTTCAGGTCTTCTCGGCCACGGTCATTCCCTCCCTTCTCTACGCTTGCGAAACGTGGACCCCCCTAATGGAACATCTTCGGCGGTTAGAAACATTTAGGCTGGCCTGCCTACGATCCATCCTGGGTTTAACCAGACTGGATTGTGTGAGGAGCTCACAAATCCTTGAAAGATCTGGGCAAGGTCCCATCGGTGAGTTCCTCCGGCGGGCAAGGCTGCGATGGCTGGGTCATGTAGCCCGCATGCCCAGCCACCGCATGCCGAAACAGCTTTTGTTCGGCCGGATTGAGGGGGCAAAGCGGGCGCGGCATGGGCTAGAGAAGAGATGGAGTGATGTGGTACAGGAGGACGTGGAGCTGAGTGGACTTGCCGATGACTGGTACCAGCGGTGTCAAGATCGGCCTCTGTGGAGGAGGCTCGTGAAGGATGCTACTGGGCAGTTGGAGGCAGTCGCCCTCCAACAACAACGGAGGGCGGAGGAGCGATGCTCAGAACAACGAGCGGAGCGCCGGGTGGCTAAAGCACAGCAGGTTGGCACAGTAGGGGGCACAGGTGGTGCATCAGCCAGTCATCTCAGTCAGTCGACCCGTGGCACCTGGGTCTGCCCCGTGACCTCCTGCCAGCGGGCGTTCGACACTTCACGTGGCCTCAGGGTGCACATAGCCTGGCACAAGCGTCGTGGTGACGTCACCGCCACTTAGTGGCGAATGGCGGTTGTTGTTGATGTTGGTGGTGGTGATGGTGGTGGTGATGGTGATGGTGGTGGTGATGGTGGTGGTGATGGTGGTGATGGTGGTGGTGATGGTGGTGGTGGTGGTGATGGTGATGGTGGCGCAGTGGTGAAACTCGTGCCTTACAGCAAGCAGGAGGCCTGAATTAGATTCCCGACACGGGCAGCCCCTTTCGCTGTGGAACTTCAGATGTTCTCCCACTCTTCTGCATGCGTTTCCTCGGGGTTCTCTGGTTACCTTCTCCTCCTCCCATAGCTACACAAACACCCACACCGTGGAACTGCTGGTGTTGGCGATGGTGGTGTTGACCAACACAGCCCCCAATGACGACGAACAAAAATACATCCCGAATGACTCGTTTGGGATCACACAACAACAGCAGCAGCAGCAGCGTCATCGCCGCACGACTGCGACAACTTAGCAGCACCCTCCTTAAAAGGCAATAACGAGTCTTGAGACTCATAGGAAAGCAATATTATTGTCACAATTTACACGCGTGAGTGATGGGGAGCGGGGAGGGAGGGGGGTGGTGGGTAGTCTGATCCCACCGCGCCGACCGCACCGGTGCTGCTCGAGATGTTGACGTCGATGCTGATGTCGGGGATGCCAGCGGAGCCGGGGGTGCCGAGCGACGCCACGCACGTGTAGGTGCCGAAGTCGGTGAACTTGAGGTCGATGATGTCCAGGCTCGAAGTCCCTGGCTGGAAGTCGGCGTCGTTAGACGAGATGACCATGCGCTCGGTGCTGCGCAGGGCGCGGCCGTTCTTGTGCCACATGTAAGAGAGCTCCTCCTGCGGGATGGCTTCCACCTGCTCCAGCACCACCACCACCAGCACCACCAGCATCGTCAACAACACCACCAACACCAACACCACCAGAACCATCACCAGTACTACCACCAGCACCATCAACACCACCACCAGCACCACCAGCATCGTCAACACCACCAACACCACCAGAACCACCACCACCATCATCAGCACGATCAACACCACCAACACCACCAGAACCACCACCACCAGCACTACCACCAGCACCACCACCAGCACCGTCAACAACACCAACACCACCAACACCACCAGAACCACTACCACCACCAGTACTACCACCAGCACCATCAACACCACCAACACCACCAGAACCACCACCAGTACTACCACCAGCACCATCAACACCACCTACACCACCAGAACCACCACCACCACCACCATCATCAGCATCAACACCACCAACACCACCAGAACCACCACCAGTACTACCACCAGCACCACCACCAGCAGCATCAACACCACCAACACCACCAGAACCACCACCAGTACTACCACGAGCACCATCAACACCACCACCACCACCAGCACGACCACCAGCACCACCATCATCAGCATCATCAACACCACCAGAACAACCAGCATCAGCACCACCACCAACACCATAAACACCACCATAACCACCATCAGCATCACCACCACCACCAGCATCAGCACCACCACCATCATCAGCACCATCAACACCACCAGAACAACCAGCATCAGCACCACCACCAGCACCATCAACACCACCAGAACCACCAACACCAGCATCAACACCACCACCAGCATCAGCACCACCAGAACTACCAGCACCACCACCAGCACGACCAGAACCACCACAACCAGCACTACCACCACAATCCGCACTACCAAAACCACCACCACCAGCATCAGCACCACCACCAGTATCAGCACCATCAACACCACCAGAACTACTAGCATCAGCACCACCACCAGCACCAAAAGAACCACCACCAACAGCACTACCACCACCACCACCACTATCAGCACTACCAGAACCACCAGAAACACCACCAGCATCAGCACCACCACCAGCGTCAGCACCAGCACCACCAGAACCACCAGCACTACCACCACCACTATCAGCACTACCAGAACCACCACCATCAGAACCACCACCACTACCAGCACCATCATCACCCTTACCATCACCACAAACGCGACAATTGCCAGAAGTAAAAAGATCTGCACCATGCCCATCACCATGAATGCGACCGTTACCATCACCATGAATATCACAATCGTGAAGGTGACAATCACCACCACCACCACGACGATCACCACAACTACGACCACTGCCGTGCCAATCACCACCACCACCAATCCCAGCTGTTACCACCACCACAACCACTACCACCACGCGGCCGTCGCCGTACTCGTCACCTGGCACGAGATCTTCACTTCGCGCCCGATCTGGATATTGACGTCCTCGTGGTAGGGGTCAGGGGTTATCCAGAAGCGGCCTTGGCGGAGCGCTGCGGTGGGGGAGTGAGGAGGGTGAGGGGCGAGGGGGGGTGAGGAAGGTGAGGGGGGGGGAGACACGAAATCGGACAGAGATGTTCAATGATTGGGGTTCAAAGTAGTCCCTGAGCACCTACTGGACATCTGTGAAAAAGAGCTTCATAGCTCATCGGATTTCTCCAGGACAAATAAAGATTTTGATCCCCTTCGGTTTATCCACAAGTGCTTCTCCCTCTTCCTCCTCCCTCATGTATCTCTCTGCTTCCCTCGCCACGAGCTCCTCTCCCAACCACGGCGTTTGTGAAGTGTCGGCACAACTTAGGCAGGACCCAGTCGCACCGCCTTAAGACTCTTGCTTCGCGACACCGCAGGTCACCACGCGCGTTCCCCGGACCAGGCCCGGACACATCTCTCAGTCAGCACCAGGTCAATGATGAGAAAGTGCGCAGCCTCCCGCGATAAAAGTTCAACACGGAAACGCCGATTACCAGATCTGAGTGCAAATCGATTCCTGCCGCCCGACACACCACGCACAGAGAGAGAGAGACGCAAATTCCCCGACTGTCCGGGTAAAACCGGGACAGGTGGCAACCCTCGCTGGCACGAGCTCACCGTGTGCCCTGCCCCCACACTCTATGCCCCCCCCCCCCCTTCCTCCTCCTCCAGCCCTCCCTCCCCTGCTCCCCTGCTCCCCCACCGCCTCGCCGCTCCCCCTACTCACTGCGCACGATGATGGTGATGCTCTTCCGCACGGAGCCTCCCACTCCGTTGGAAGCGGAGCATTGGTAGGAGCCCGCGTGCTCGCCCGACACCCTGGGCAACGTGAGGTTGCCCCTCACCACCCGAGCCCCCGGGGGCAGGGGCTGCCCTCCGAGGCGAGCCCACGACAGCGAGGGGCGGGGCCAGCCCCCCAGGACCTCGCACTGCAGGGAGACGGTCTCCTCCGGGTTTACGATCAGCGCGTCAGGGCCCCTGATGCGGATGGAGGGGGCCGCTGGGGGAGGTGGAAGGGGGGGGGGGTACAGAGTGACGAGGAATGTATCAGCGTCGTTGTTGTCATCATCGGTAATTGTGAACACAGTCATCCATTGGAGAATGATCACCGCCATCATCACCCGCATAACCACCACCATCATCACTCCCATCACTGCTCTCATCACCATCACCATAATAACCACTCCCATCACTACTATCACCACCCATCATCATCACCACTCCCATCACTACTATCACCACCCATCATCATCACCACTTCCATCCCTACTATCACCACCCATCATCATCACCACTCCCATCACTACTATCACCACCCATCATCATCACCACTCCCATCACTACTATCACCACCATCACCATAATCACCACTCCCATCACTACTATCACCACCCATCATCATCACCACTCCCATCACTACTATCACCACCCATCATCATCACCACTCCCATCCCTACTATCACCACACATTATCATCACCATTCCCATCACTACTATCACCACCCATCATCAACACCACTCCCATCCCTACTATCACCACCCATCATCATCACCACTCCCATCACTACTATCATCACCCCCATCATTGTGACGTGTCACAGTCGCGTCTCAGTGTTGTCAGGTTTCGGACCACGCTCACGCCGGGATTGACGGCCCATGGTCGAGCATTGTGTCGCGATCGGGACACCCATTGGTTAAAGACGCACGCGCGCCAGCCAATCAGGTGCGACTGAGCTGTGATAGGCTTAACCTGCACGTGTGGGGAAGTGGACAAAGTCAAAGATCTCCCTATAGCCTTAACAGACTGTTAGGGCAAGTGCTGTTAGCGAGTACCTATGAAGGCCAGCACGGTAGACGAGGGGGTGGGTGGCCAGCACTACGCGTGGCCGCTTTTGTCTCTCTCGTGGCGATGTTTACACACTGCACCAGGTGCTCATTTGAGGCTGAGTCAACCTAGGGGAGGCCCAGTACCGGTTCAGATAATTGTTACTGGTGTTGGCCGTGAGCGGGACTCGATCTCGGGTCGCCGGATTCGTAGCGCAGCGCTCTAAACCCTTAACTACGCCACCGCTCCCCCCCACACTGGGAGAGAGGCAGAGTCACCACCTTGCTCAGAGTTGGTGGAATTTGCCCATGTGGAGGGGGGGGGATGACTATTCTACCCGGAACGTGATTCATTGCTCACTCACCATTGGTCGATTTTGCACGCGGTTCAAATCAAGTGTCTGATCGTCTGGAACCGTGTGCAGAGTTATGGTTTTGGAGCAATTAAGAAGTCAGCCAGGTGTTAATGGCTGAGGGTGGAGCTTCTCTCCCAATGGCTCGGGGTTGCTTGGGGTTGCTTGTTGCATTGGAGTTGTGTTTAAGAGATTTTCAGGAAATTTATGATGAATTTTTTATTTAAAGCTTTCGTGACTGCAGGGATTCGTATTCTTGTTTTTTTCGGTAAAGTCACGTAGAAGGGAAACAATAAAAGAATAAAAATATAAGCAATATTATTTTTTTCAAAAAAATATATTGCTGTGGTTTTCACACCTGATGATAATTGCTTGTGTTGCAGTCGAAACGTCATGAGAATTGTATTATTTTATTGTTTCCCTTCTACGTGACTTTACCGAAAGAACCAAGCATATAACTTATGATAAGTTGCGTTTATTATTATTATACACGAGAGTTTCACAACATCTTTGCTGCTGCCTCCACAGTGCTGAACTTACAGGCAGCCACGTGCAGCAGCAGCAGCAGCACAGCTTGACACGACACCGAGTTGTCTCTTTTGTTTGCATTTTGACTGCTTGTTTTGTGGTTATTGTAAACATGATGCCTTGAATAAAGGTGTCAGTTTTTGTGCCAGTTAAAAGGGTAAAACCTATTACTACTACGACACCGTGTAGTTTAACGGTGCCGTTCTGCTGTACCACAGGGGCTTTGAAGTCGCAGGGACTTGATGGCCAATTTGTTGAGCTATCATTTGTGGCCAGGTCGCTTCAGAAAGATAAGTTAATACCTCCAGTGGGCTTTACCTGGAAAATATAAATACACGAAACGAGACAATGTTTTATCCTACCAGGTGATTTTTTTACTTTTCCTCTCCGTTGCACTCCTGTCGTGTTTTTGCGTTTCTTTGTCGGAACATTCTGACCCGCTGCTGCTAGACCTCTGTTGAAAAGGCGCTTCATAGCTCATCGGATTCCTCCAGCCTAAATAAACGACGCGATTCTGAAGCGCGAGGGGACGGAAGGCCGCTGCCCGCTAGCGCCACGCGGTGGCGGCGGAGGTTGGAGCGGTGCAGCCGCGCGCTGCCGGACTTTACGAAGAGGAATCCCAGCGCCGTAGCCTGTGGCCGAAGCGTGGGTGAACCTCTGTTGCTTGCTGCTGGATGTTTGTGGCCTTGCGGTGTCTGGACATGGAGTGTGCTGGGATTTTGCGAGGTGGCATGGGTTGCCGTCTGGCGAATTGTGTGTGGTGGGGGGCGGTCCCTCGTGATGACGAGCCGGGAGGGGTGGTTCCCAGGGCTCCCGCACATTGATCTCCAGAACCCCACCGTGTAACCAAGGGCGCGGAGTACAACCGCGAGTATGAAACCCCAGCGTGGTCCGAATTACTTTGGCAGATGGTGGGGATTTGTTCACAACTGGGCAGGTTTAATCAAATCCACCTCCTGCGCCTCGCGGTGGCCGAGGGCAGCGTCGTTCGCTCGTGCGTGCGCGTGCGTGCGGGGCTGTCACGGCTCATGGAGCCCTTTGGACGAACGCCACCGTTCCGCCCGCTCTGTGTGTAAACCTGCGCGACCCCGGTGGCCGTCTCCCCTCCCTCCCCGTCCCTCCCTGGTGGTGTCCTGGCTCAAGCGGCGTGGAGACCGCCCCCAAGCGAGCCACGTCACAGGGGCGAGGGCCGGCCTCGCTCCCGTGCCGCTCCGCTCCACCCTGCAGGCACCACCATGACCTGGCCCGACCAACTCGCACGGGACTCTGACGCCGGCAACGGAAACTGAGATCGGCCGCCGTCGTCGCGTACCCGTCATGTTGGTGAGCCGGAAGTCCGCCTGCCTGTCCGGGAGGTCGCACACGTTCCTCACGGACGCCACGCAGCTGTAGGTCGCGTAGTCCGTGGCGCGGAGATTCTTCAGCTTCAGTATCTTGGTCTCTCCCTGCGTGCACACCACCATCATCATCATCACCACCGCCATCATCATCCTTGGCTCCATCCTAGGCCCCATCCTAGGCTCCATCCTGCCCGTGTCTCGTCCTCTTCTCTCTTCCTCCCTGTCTACCCTCGTCCGTGTCTCTTCCCCAAGACGCCGCCTATCCCCTCCTACACCTCGCCGCCCCCCCCCCCCCCGTCTCTCCTCGCCCCCGCTCCTCTCACACCTGCGTGAAGAGCGGCTCGTAGATGGTGATCCCCGCGTCGAGGTCCTGCCGCAGGGGCTGGCCATCGCGGCGCCACGTGAAGAGCGCGGGGGGACTCGAGTTGCCGGAGCAGCGCAGGAAGACGGTGCGCTCCTGGTAGTACTCCTTGGCGTCCCCCACGCTCTGGTGCACCGTGAGCACGGGCGTGTCCAGGTCTACCGTGCCACCGAAGAGCGAGAAGAGGGGGTGGGAGGGGGGGGAGACTTCTGTATGTGAAGATGATGAGAAAGTCCCGAGCTGTGAATGCGGTTGATGTTTGCGTTGCCTCGTTGTGTTCTTCCCCTTTGTTGCGTTGCTCTCTGGGTCTCTGCCACTGGGGAGATGGGGGTCACAGAGGAGAGAGGCCTTCTCGGGTGTCAGCCAAATCCGTTCCAAGGACAATGCATACATTATAGAAATAGGTTTTACCCTTTTAACTGGCACAAAAAACTGACACCTTTATTCAAGGCATCATGTTTGCAATAACCACAACACAAGCAGTCAAAATGCAAACAAAAAAGAGAACTCTGATAATAATATGCACTGTCCTTTAATTTGATTGGTCCACACCCGAGACGGCTTTTCTTAGAGCCTAGTCTCCACTGGTGTTGGACCAGAAGACGCCAAAAGGCGTACAACTAAAAAACAACGCACTATCAGAGTATTGAGGGCTCGGGGTGAGCATTTACATTGAGACCTCCTTTGCCAGTAACAAGATATAGAAATAGGTTTTACCCTTTTAACTAAAATGATAACTAAAAGGGTAACTAAAAGGTCAAACCTATTTCTATATCTTGTTACTGGCAAAGGAGGTCTCATAATGTAAATGCATACATTGTCGTATGTGTGAACTTCTTTTGCACCGTACGTAGGCAACCGTGCTAATCGGAGGTGCGGAGGGAAGTACAACAAACTCAACACCAAGCAGTTCAAAGCGTGATTTGAACTGCTACCCGGAAAGCGTGAATATGTGTGTACGGTGCTACACGTTTAAACCAAAACAACCCCACATAGTCGTGAATAACACTGACACGCCTGTGTATATAAATACACAGGCGTGTCCCGCTTAACGAGCGAGATGCGTTCCACTAAAAGTGCTCGGCAAGCGAACACGTTAAACGATCATCCTTTTCTCATGTGACTCTCGTGTTAAAAGTAAAGGTACGTATCGGTCCCCGAACTCTTCTACTCGTGAACAACGTTTTTACTTTAAATAATAAAACGTCCAGTTTGTAGAACACCACTCAAGAACCACAGCGCAAGTTCTCCTGCACATCCACGTATTTGAGATCGACGCGCGCGCGTGCAATCTCCCTCTACTCGATCACGCAATCCCCTCGCTCTGTCTGTCTGTCGCACGTGCACCCCCCACAACTCCACCTGCACAAGACTCCCGTCAGGAGAACCAAACCAAGTTCTCCTAGGAACCGTGGATTTGTTTTTTAACAGAGCGCCCTCCCATTCCCCGGGAGCGTCTCGAAGTACTTTACACCGCATCTCAACACATCTTAAAGGGCACTCCCACCCCCGTGGCAGCTGTCCCTGTGCTGCACGAGGTGACCGCACCTGGCCTGAAAACCGGTGTCGGCCAGCAAGGGGGCGATGCTGCGTTGCTGCGTGTAATGCCAATCGAGTATTTTGCGGGCAGTTTTGCTAAATGTTGACCAAATGTTGACCGGCACACAATGGCCAACTCTTGCGCAAGACCGCACGTGGATCTTCAACGTCCACTGAAATGGACGGTGCTTTTTGCGCTGCTTTAATACGCCCGCGGTATTGACCAGGGCGGCCGCTGGATTTGAACTGTGAAATCTCCGCGGATGGCGGTTAGCCCACCATCCACGTGGTCTACTATGACACCACGTGGATGGTGGGCTGCCCTCCCCCCCCTCATAGTAGACCACGTGGATGGTGATGGTGGGCTACCCCCCCCCCCCCCTCATAGTAGACCACGTGGATGGTGGGCTACCCCCCCCCCCTCATAGTAGACCACGTGGATGGTGGGCTACCCGCCCCCCCCCCCTCATAGTAGACCACGTGGATGGTGGGCTGCCCCCCCCCCCCCCCCACTCCAACTCACAGTAGACCTCCACGCGAAAGGAGCGGATGGCGGGCTGGCCGATGCCGTTCTCTGCGCGGCAGTAGTAGCGCCCTCCCTGCTGGCGCTGGATGTGGGCGATGCGCAGCGTCTCGTTGAACACCGTCGTCTCCAGGAAGCGGTCCGAGCCGATGCCGGCCGTCTTGGTCCACCGCACCTGCTGGTGGACGTCATGGGGTACAGGCGATGTCGTGGCGAGAGGGGAGGAGGGGTGGGGGTGAGAGGGGGGTGGAGGGGAGGAGGGGAGGGGAGGCGGAGGGGGGTGAGAGGGGAGGGGAGGGGGGGTGACTACCGGGCCCTACCCACCCACCCCACCCCCTCGTGTAGCCAGAATTATTGGGGGGGGGGGGGGACGACTCGAATGTTTGGCGGGGCCGGCGCCGCCGCCGTGGTCACGAGCACTGCGGCACGTGGCCACGGCGGCTCTTGTCGCACGAGTGGCCGGGAGGACCCCCGGCTGTGGTGCGACCATTGCTTCAACATCCCCGATGCAGCCACCGTGGCCAAAGCGGTTGAGGGCCCCCGACCTCGCCAATGTTTATACATTCGCCAACTCTCAGCACTTTTGCCGTATCGTTTTCGTTTTGTTTTTGTTATTGTGGAACCTAGGCCGATGAAAGTGTGCGTGCTATCTTTGTTGTTGAAGGCAGCGAGGTGCAGTGCAGTGGTGCTGCTGTTGGGCCCTCGTATCATTTTGTTGAGGTTGTTGCGACAGATGGTCGGGATTGGGCAGCATTTCGCCCTGCTTTTCGCCCAGGCAACTGAGATGGGATGGCACGTGCTTTCCAAAATGGGTCTCGCTCAACTTGACCAAATCGCACACCGTCTCAAGAGTGTTCCTCGCTCTCCACGCAACATTTATAAATATTTCTAACAACCCGTGCGGGACCCACGGCCTTCTGGGAGTAATGCAAGCAGCGTTGTTGAGTCTGCGCAAGCAAAACTCCGCACCGGTTTCGACATTCAACGTCTCATCAGCAGAGCCAGGCTCGCTTGAATAAATTGTTGGAGAACTGCCCAGATGCTGTACGTAAGGACCCTCTCATCATATGGGTATGAAATTACGGTACGTATATGCTTACCTTGACCACTTATGTATGATATATGTTTTACAGAGCTTGCCATTTTCTATGACTTGTCTCTTTCTGTTGCCTTTTGCCCCAAACATTATTCATTTAGGAGCCATCCATTTAGTACGTACGCATGTAGGGGGGGGGAGGGGGGTTAACCCAAATGCGTACGCCTGCGTATGGGGGGTCTACTGACAATGTTCGTAGGCATAGGAAACGGGGGGTGAAGCCTCGATAATAATTTGTTTACATTGGCCTTCAAATGAGTTGGATAGTCCGGCGGTGGACTATGTTTGCTTAAACACGTTAATATTATTAATCCTTGATCGTTTCTGCGTGGATCAAATATCGGCCGTTCTATAGGATTCGGGGGGAGGGGGGGTGTAAAAAGTACACGTGCGTGTAGGGAATGGGGAGGGGTCCAGTTTTGACAGATTGTTTTGCGTGCGTACTAAATGGATGGCCGCTGAACGTGACCGCCATTCCCACGACTTCGCGTTCATCTCCGCGCTGCGGTTTGCCTGTAGAGGTCCTGCCGGAAGTTCCAGGGAGACGGTCCGGAGTGTGAGGGTGGTCCTGCGCAGGGTGGGGTGAGGAGGGTTGTCCCTAGGGTTGTCCCTAGGGCTGACCCCGGGGCTGTCCCCGGGGCTGTTCCCGGGGCTGTCCCCGTGGCTGTCCCCGTGGCTGTCCCTGTGGCTGTCCCCGTGGCTGTCCCGTGAGCGCGGGTTACCCGGGGGGGGGGGGGGGCTGGGTTCGCACCTGGGGGCGCGGGTGTCCCGCGACGAGACACGTGAGTTCCAGGGTGTCCCCCTCGCGGATGGTGTAGATCCTCTCGCTGTAGCCCTCGTTGTTGTAATTGCACGCCTGGCCCGAGTGTACGATCCTTGCCTGGGGGGGGCCTGGGGTGGGTGGAAGGGAGGGTATCGGTTGGGAGGCACAGAAGCCGGAGGGATTTGATAAAGTGTGCCCCCCTCCTATTTCAGCTGCCGGGGCCGGCAGTCCGGATCCAAACTTGCGACCCTCTGGATTGCGAGTCAAGCGGTGTCTGCTGACCAATATCACTGCGGCAGCTTCTTGCGTTAAACAAAGGAGGAACGGTCGCATCTGTTTCTTGTGTGTGGTGCAGATAACCGGATTTAACCGGTATTTGTTATTCCTTTTGGTTACCGGTTACAAAAAAAAACGATTTCAACAACCCCGCTGCGCGCGGCTGTAACCCGATATCTTTGCCCTCTGCAGCAAAACCAATCCAGCGCAGCAGCCGCTACCCACACCGAGCCACAAATCGACCACCGCCACCTCCACCCCCGCCAAATTTTCCCACTCCCCCATGCCCCCCCCCCAACCTTAGGTCACCCCCACTCCCCCATGCACCCCCGCCCCCCTCCCAAAGATCACGTATGGTAGTGGTGGTGGGTTAATGCATTTTCCACATCGTTACACAAAACCCGCACCCGGGCCCTGAAGCCAACACGGGGGGGGGGGGGGGGGGGGGGGGGGGGGGGGTGGCGGCAAGGGGGTTGGTGGCGGTCAAGGGAGAGGGTGCGGAGGGACGAGGGAGATGGGGGAGGGGGCAGTGATGGGGGTGATGTCATCTGAATATTCACTCGCGTCAGCTGTACCATCTCATGCCAGCACTGTCATTATATCTTACCACCACCATCAATTTCTACAATCATCTCTTATCACCACCACCATCAATTTCTACAATCATCTCTTATCACCACCATCAATCTCTATCATCACCTGGTACCTTAACTACCATCATCTCTTCCATCTCTGCCATCATCATTATCATCATCTCTCCCATCTCTGCCATCATGTGAACCTTCACGACGTTATCTCTAACATCATCTCGACTTTCACTACCATCACCGACATCGTTTCTACCATTATCTGGACCTTCACTGCCATCATCATCAACGTCATATTTACCATCACTGCCATCTCAACCATCACCGCCACCGAATCTGAAAACAAAAATTGCTGCACATTCTTCCACTGGGATCACACAAAGCAGCAGCAGTCGCCCTTGCTAAGCAACATTGGCAGGACCCTCTTGAAAAAAGGAGAGTTGAGATTCAGTGAGGCTTCCTGCGTAAACACCCCGAGGTGACAACATGACACACATGTACGCAGACAAATGCACACTTTCACTCGCACTCGATTTCACACTCAGCCATGCTCGCTCTCTCTCGAACGCACATATAACCGCACGCACAAGACACACACACACTCACTAAAACACGCACTCTCCCATTCGCTCAAACGTGCACACCTATTCACGCTCACGTGTGCACCACGCGCAGTGAGTCGCACTCATCAACACATTCGAACGCACGTACATAGACACCCCTCCCCACCAGTGTGTTCCATCGCAGATTCGTGGGACGGATAACTTTTGTTTGCGAGCACCTATCAAGGTCGACGCGCGCGCGGGCGGAGGGGAGGGGGTCTCGTGTGATCGACACCGCGCGCGGCCGCCTTTGTCTCCCTTGGCCGGGAATAGAACACAGGTCGCCGGGTTCGTAACGCACACGGGGAATACAACAGGCACAAGGCCATGACACAGACATGCACACAAGCGCACGCGCGTTCCAACAACAACCGCCGCCACTCGCCACGAAATGGCGGTGATGTCACTACGGCGCTCGTGCCAGGCTAGGTGCACTTTGAAGCTACGTGAAAGTGTCGAAGGCTCGCTTGTCAGGAGATCACGGGATAGGCCCAGGTGCCATGGGTTGACTGAGATGACTGTCACATGCACCGCCTCTGCCCCCTACGACGCCGACTCGCTGTGCTTCATCCGCTCGACGCTCTCTGCTCGTTGTGAGCGCACAGACACGGACAGAGGTGGCGTATAGGCACAGCGTCATTCACAGAATAATGATCGCGTTCATTAGTACATTCACTGACGCACATGCGCTGGGGCTCTCATTAACACGTGCTCATGTAACTCATTCACACATCCTCACGCGCGCGCACACGTACACATACATACACACATACACACAGAAAAGACCCCCCCCCCCCATAACCTTCACAGACTGTGGGAGCAAGTGCTGTTAGCGAGTACCTATGAAGGTCGGGATGATACACGAGGGGGTGGGTGATCAGCACCACGCCCGGCCGCCTTCGTCTCCCCAGTGGCGATGTTCACACATTGCACCAGGTACTCATTTGAGACTGAGTCGACCCAGGGGAGGCCCAGGAGCGGTTCAGATAATCGTCACCGGTTGTAGTCCGTGAGCGGGAATCGAAATCAGGCCGCCGGGTTCCTAACGCAGGGCGCTAACCGCTACACTACCGCTCCCCAAACAACTCTCACTCACTCTAGCACACTCACACACACATGCACACACATTTCCACACACACTCTCGCACATACATGCACGCACACAGTCGCACACTCACGCACATACTCTCGCACATACACACACACACTCTTGCACTCACACGCACACGCACTTTTGCACACACTCACACGCACACAAGGCAACGCGCTCTGCGTTATGCAAATGAACTCGCGGACGTGACCAGCTACACGCTAATGATAGAGAATGTCTAATTGGTGATGTGTGATGGGAGATTGCGTGATGGAAGGACGTGTGATGGTTGATGTGATGGAGGATGTGTAGCCGGGGTGGGGGTGTGATGGGTGATGTGATGGAGGATGTGTAGCGGGGTGTGTGTGATGGGTGATGTGCAGCGGGGGGTGTGTGATGGGTGATGTGATGGAGGATGTGTAGCGGGGGGTGTGTGATGGGTGATGTGATGGATGTTGCTTCGTGTCCACCGGTCCGGGTTGAGCTGTAATTGAAAAGTAACGACCCCTGCTCATCACGGACAGCACCGCCCCCGGCCGTACCCCCACCCCTCTCAACCCAACCCCCCACCCACTCTGCTCCCCCTCCCACCCCCTTCTCATTCCGCCACCCACCCCCTCCCTCTGCATGCCGCTCTCTCTCCCCCTTCTCTGGCTTCCCCACCCCACCGCCGCGCCCTCTCTTTGCCACTTTCCCTCTCCCTGATCCTCTCCCTGATCCTCTCCCTCCTGCTGTCTGTTGTCCCCCCCCACCCCTCTAACCCTCCCCTCCCCTCACTCCCTCACTCCCTCCACCCTACCCTCACTCCCTCCCTCCCCCTACCCTCCCTCTCCCCTACCCTCACTCCCTCCCTCCCCCTACCCTCACTCCCCCTACCCTCCCTCCCTCCTCCCTACCCTCACTCCCTCCCCCCCACCCTCACTCCCTCCCCCCTACCCTCCCTCCCTCCCCCTACCCTCACTCACTCCCTCCCTCCCTCCCCCCTACCCTCACTCCCTCCCTCCCAGGTCTCATTTCTCCAGTTCGATTTGAAGCCGCGTGGATGGAGGCGAGCGTGCGAGTGTAAAGGATAACTACACATGGATAACCACACTGGAGATATAACAACACAGGACATAATTTATAATAAATTGCATTTCCTGGCGCTTTGCTTAAACGCCCCAGCGACTCAAAGCGTCTTCGCTGCTCATCTCAAACACGCGAAGGGCACCCCCGTTCCCCAGTAGCAGCTGTCCCTGTGCGGCACAAGGTGACTCAGCAGCTGGCCTACAATCGGGCATTATTCTGCCAGGAGGGGGCGATGTTGCCGCTGCTGCTGCTGCTGTCATCCTATTGCATTTTTTGCGGTGTAATTCTTCTAAATTTGGACCATGACGTCCAGACACAATGGCATGCTCCTGTAAATGACGTCAAGGGAATACGGATATATTTTTTGACGGTTAACACGCTCGCAAGATTAACCAGGACGCCCCTGACGGATTCGAACCACGAACCTCATCAACAAGCGGTGCACGCGCTACCACTGGGAAATGTCACTCCACAGTCCGTCATACCCCTCCTCCCTCCCGGTGTCTCCCTCCACCTCCTCCTCCCGGTGTCTCCCTCCACCTCCTCCTCCCCGTGCCTCCCTCCTACTCGCATTCCCACCGCTCACGTGGCCTCTGCCTTCTCGCTCCTCTTCCTCCGCTCTGTCTGGGCCATCGCCTCCACGACCACTGCGCAGCCCCCGCCCTCGGTCCTAGAACGTCGCCTCTGTGGCCCCGCTCGGTGCGACCCCCTCGAGGCGAGGCGGCGGCGCACGCCTGCAGTCCCGCGTTTTTAGCGGCAAGGGTTGGTGGATCGCACGAAATTCCCGAGACATCCGCCGGGCCGCGAGGTAGCCATGAGTGCATCTCATGAGCTCACCAACCTATCTGTGTGGATCCTAGAGCGGGGTTCTTCAGTGCAAGGCCCGGGGGGCCACTGGCGCCCCCTGGTGGCCTTTAGTGCGCCCCCCCCGACAAGACAGACAGAGTGACAACACCCCCCATCATCGTGACCATCATCGTCGTGCTGCTGCCAAACCCCCTCAGTGGTTTCAAATGTGCGGCGGCCATCGCACTGACGATGTCTTATCAGCGAAAGTGGGCTTCCTCATCTGAAAATTGGTGAAGAACGCTGTGGTGGAGCGTTACCCACTCGTTCGTGTGGCCTTTTTGCTGGGCACTCCGGTTTCTTCCGACATTGCTCCATCGAGAGTAATTAGTCAAACACACACACTGCATGGCCCTCTCTAAAAGGGAGTCCCGAGTTAGGTGTGTTCCGGCCACGTGGAGTCATCATCGTCATCATCATCGTCATCATTGGGGACACCTGGCCCCACGTGACTCGGCGCGAGAGAGAGCGGCTCGCAGCTACCGGAAGGTTGCGAATTCATATCCTGATTGGTGGCGGGGGGGGATTCGGCCCATCATCCTTCCGTTCGGGCTCGATAAAACGAGTACCACTTTGTAGAGAAGTCAACGCTGGTTGTCATATGGAGACACCTGCCCCTGCCATTGGAATGTGGAATGCCCACCTCTGGCACTGCAGAG